GACAGAGGGGTTGTGAGTTTGTCCGTGCAAGGATTTGTAGACAGTTCGATGCATCTCCAATTGAGTTGGCCTCGTCGTCCTCGTCGTCGGCGTCATCGCCGCAAGCGTCTTCGTCGGCGACGACAGCGGCGACGGCGGACGCCTGAGCGGTGGCTGCTACTGGGGGAACACATATGTTCCAAGTGTTGGTGGGGCCCCCATCCGTCAATAAGCCGGCGCAGGAAAACAGTGTTCCCATTCTTGGGGGGTATTGAAGGCCCTTCTGCGTGACTTGTACTGTTGGCCCACAGGGTCTCATGGGTTTCACCCAGAATTGGCCTGCGCGCTTGGATTTGCCTCCCCCCACCTTTCCCGCTGCCCTTAATGCCGCGCATCAGAGGTCACTCTTGCCCAGGGCCGCTCTTTCGTGTAGCCGATAAGCTCCGGGACCAGGACGCATTTCCCTCAGGACCCGCTGCGTACATGGGAACCTCGTGCCCATAGGGCGCACGCGGCAGGGTCACAGCGCCCGCCGTGCGCGTGGGGAGGCAAAAGGTTTGCTGCCCGGCTTCAGTTATCACCCCGCGAACCTTGCGGGTTGCAAGATTTCCAACGTAGGCGAATCTTTCAACGTAGGATTGTCATCAGCTTCGCCATCGGAGGATGAAAACCAACACTGTGGAGATGATCGCACATTTGCCGACCCCGATTTTGATCACTTGTTTTATGCAGAAAGCTCTGAATCGCGGGAGATGGCCAGAGCTTGCAATTCGAACTCCAAGTTTGCTCGAAAAACGAATGCCGAATTCATGTCAGGCGCCACCAGTTTTCAAATACATGCATACATTCTGCATGCACGCATGCGACATGTATGGTAAGGTAACGTAGCGTGGCCCAGTGCAGCGACGAGCTGTTGATGCATCCATGCGAAATACCATACGAATGTGATCAAGCGTGGGCCGTAAGCAGTGCGCGGTCTGGAGAGATACGCGGTGCTATCTGGGTGGGACAGCACACGTGATGCAATCTAGGCGGTGCAACCTGTGTGGCACAGCCTGCGTTGTAAAATCCATGTTTTGCGATCTACGGCGCGCAATACACGTTGTGCAATATTCGTGGTGGAGTATTTGTGGTGCAGCAAGTATCCTCCCATATGGATTGGGGCTCTGTATAGATATGTGTAGTAATACATATGTATATATATGTATGTATGTATATTTATATTTACATATATATATATATATATATATATATATATGTATGTGTGTGTATGCTGACATTTTTCTGCGTGCGCGGCCGACGCGGCCGCGGTGGCGCTGACCGTCGGGCGCTTCCGAGCGGGCACTTCAGTGCGAGTCGGTGGCTCGGGCGGGCGCGGTACCGTGGTGACGCCGACGGCCGGCGCGATGATGTGAGTTGCAAGGGTGGTGACGATGGTTGCGATGACGACGGCAGGGCCGATGCCGGCGCCGATGTTGATTGCGTTCGGCGGTAACGATGACCGCGCCCCCGCGTCGGCGATGAAGGTTTTGGGGAGAGTTCGACACGCGCGCGCGGCCGACGCGCACGAGCGGCCCGCGTCGCATTTTTCGGCGCGGATCGCCCCCCCCCCCCCCCCAGCACGCGCACAAGGGCGTTCGAATGAGTTCGGCACGCAGCGAGAGAAGCCCGCGCGGCACAATTTGTTGGAAATCAGCAGCCCGTGGTTCCCTAAAGAATGCGCAAGATTGCGAGCGTGAGTTTTTTGAAACTTGACGTTGCAAAGCCAGTGCGTTTTATGTTTTTTTCGGCGCGCTCGATCTTGAAACCTTTACGAAATCTAGGGTTGTTTGAGGGGCGTCGACCTGTGCGCGCGCGACGACGCGCGCGCGTGCGCGTCGCCCCATTTATTGGAAGGGCTGTTCGGAAACATATGGTTTTTGATAAACGGGTGCGCTCGCATTTGTCCTGCGGCGGGGGATGAAGGGGGGCGGTGGTGGTGGTGGTGTGGTTGGTGTGGTGGTGGGGTGGTGGTGGTGGTGGTGGTGGTGGTGGTGGTGGTGGTGGTGGTGGTGGTGGTGGTGGTGGTGGTGGTGGTGGTGGTGGTGGTGGTGGTGGTGGTGGGTGGTGGTGGTGGTGGTGGTGGTGGTGGTGGTGGTGGTGGTGGTGGTGGTGGTGGTGGTGGTGGTGGTGGTGGTGGTGGGTGGTGGTGGTGGTGGGTGGTGGTGGTGGTGTGGTGGTGGTGGTGGTGGTGGTGGTGGTGGTGGTGGTGGTGGTGGTGGTGGTGGTGGTGGTGGTGGTGGTGGTGGTGGTGGTGGTGGTGGTGGTGGTGGTGGTGGTGGTGGTGGTGGTGGTGGTGGTGGTGGTGGTTGGTGGTGGTGGTGGTGGTGGTGGTGGTGGTGGTGGTGGTGTGGTGGTGGTGGTGGTGGTGGTGGTGGTGGTGGTGGTGGTGGTGTGGTGGTGGTGGTGGTGGTGGTGGTGGTGGTGGTGGTGGGTGGTGGTGGTGGTGGTGGTGGTGGTGGTGTGGTGGTGTGTGTGTGTGTGTGTGTGTGTGTGTGTGTGTGTGGTGGTGGGGGGGGGGGGGGGCGAACTGCAGCCCGGCTGGGATTGTGCGAATTTGGATGGACGACCGGGCAAAATCACGTGCAAATTGCAATGCGACAGGACGGCCTGTTAACGCGATGGCGGGGGGTGGGGATCGGGGTAGATCCCAATTTTCCTTTTGAAGAAGAAAGAAGAAACATTTCCTTTTCGCAGTGAGTTGCCCATTCCACTGCTTGCGCGATCGCCCCACCCGCCACGCAACTTGGCTTGCAAAGCCCATGCCGCGGCGATTGCGATAAGTGCTTGGCGTTGGCTGGTGCATCTCTGCGGCCGCGCAAGCCCGCGCACGCTCGCGCGCGCAGCGGCCAAATAGTCTGGCGCGGCCGACGCGGCCGCGGTGGCGCTGACCGCCGGGCACTTCCCAGCGGGCATTTCACTGCGAATCGGCGACTACGGCAGGCGCGGTATCGTGGCAACGTCGACGGCGTTAAACGCGATGATGATGGCAATTACGATGGCGACGATAATGACAACGACGACGGCAACAGCAGCGGCAGCGCCGATGTTGATCACGCCGGAGACGATGACGGCACCTTTGCGTCGGTAGTGAAAGTTTTTCGGGGGGAGTTCGACATGCACGCGCGGCCGACTCGCGAGACTGGGTCGCATTGTATCATTTGACTCAAATCGTGCCCCCTTCAGCACGCGCGCGCGGGCGTTCGAATGATTCCGACGTGCGGCGCGAGGGGTTTGTTTGAATGGCCATGTTACAACACCGATGGCTTCCATAAGCACTCGCAGAAGCAAGTGCGCAGGCATATTCGATAATGGATGTTGCAAAACCATGTGTTTTTTTACATGTTATTGGGAGACCCGGCTTGGACATTTTTTTGAGCCGGAGAGTTTTTTTTAATGATTTTGGGGTGCGCGCGACGACGCGCGCTTGTGCACTTCGTTTTTTTTTGCAAAAGGAACGCCAGAGGCTGGCGACAGAATTCGCGTGCAAACGTGGTCCAGCAAATTCGACATGCGCGCGCGAGAGGCCCGTTTGGCAGCATGTTCTGAAATATTGAAACCCAGCGCTGTTTTCTTTAAAATCTGCAAGAGCGCGGGCGCGTATCTGTTGTTGGATATTCACGTTGTGAAACCATGTTTGTTATGTTTCGGGACATTCGTTTGACAACCCTATGATGACGACTACCGTTTTTGAAAGGTTTTGGCACACGCGCGCGACGACGCGCGCGTGTGAATTTCGTCAAATGTTTTGCGCAGAAGGATGTATGGAAAACTATTGATTTGTGACGAACGGGTGTGCGCATACATATGTGTATATGTACGCAGGGGATGAAAGGGGGGGGTCGATGCAGGCTAGCTTGGCTGGGATGGTTCGAGTTCGTTTTTGGAATGGACGATGGGGAAAATTATTTTTTAAATTGCAATACGAAAAGGAGGGGACGCGTAAATCCAGGGGGGTGCAAACGTTAATTCTCTATTACAGTGGATAAACTATTTTTTTCGTTTGGCGGCACCTGAGCAGCCAGACAAACTGACACGCCCAGGTACGGGCGACGATGGGGCGGCGACGGGGCGGCGACGACGGCCACTTACCCGCCAAGCCGAAGACATGGCCCAGACGATGGGCGGCGACGAGGATGCGACGGGGCTGCGACAGCGGCCACATAGCCGACAGACCGAAGACACGGCTCAGGCGACGGGCGGCGAGGCGGCGACGGGGCGGCGGCGGCGGCCTCATAGCCGCCAGGCCCAATACTGCGTCAAGCCTTTCCCAATGTGTACTGTTGCGGCCAATTCGTTTTTGTTCCTCGCGCCCCGTTCTCAGCCCCCGCGTGGATGGTCGCAACGCCTCACCGTCAAATAGGCAACAAACCTCGTCACCGCACCAGGCAACCTTGAAACACACAGAGGATCAACAAACGTTCAGAATGTCTAGGAGGCATCGCCGCGATATTGCAGCGCAGCGTGGTCACAACGTAACATGGTCGCCCAGGGCTTTATGGAGGTTTCTTAAGGTTGATTCCATCACTATGGAGGCCTCCTGGATCGAATGTTTGTATCCTCTTGGAGCTGCACATTGACGCCATCGTGAAGCCTTGTGCGAGGAACGCATGCAACAAACACAAGCAATCGAGCAACTGCGTGTGTGTGTGTGTGTTTGTGTGTGTGTGTGCTTGATCGCTTTAATTTCTGGAGGCTTCTGGCGGATATCATTTTGGAAGCCCTTGGGAAGTCGTCGGCTTGGAAACCAAACGAAGTCGTGATCGGCCATATGGAGCCTTCGGGGTCTTCGCGACGCCTTCGGATGATATGGGGGGCCTTCGGAAACACTGGGCAGGCGTGTGTGGCCTTGGAAGACTTGGGCAGCCAGAGGGTGAGGGAGCATTGCCTGGGAATGATCAGCATAATCGAGCGTTCGGGCCAGAAGCTACACTCCAGAGCTCAATAGGGGGTAGCAGGGTCACCCCACCTCGGCCGCCGAGGTCTTGGAGCAGATGCACGTGGGAAGGCTCTCCCCCAGCGTCGTCACCTACAGCGCCGTGATCAGCGCATGCGAGAAGGGCCGGCGGCCAGAGGACGCCTGGCGCGTGTTCGGGGAGATGCGGCGGCAGGGTGTGCGGCCCAACCTCATCACCTGCAACGCCTTGATATCCGCCTGCGAGAAAGGCCCCCGTGCTGGCAAACGCGGGGCGCGCCCAGGCGCACTCTGGGACCGATCCTGGTGCAGTTCCCCCCCACCCCAGGCCTGGCTGGGAGCCGACTTGCACCAAGGCCTGGGCCCGATGTGGGGAGCTCTGCGCGTGGAGGCATGGAGCCGGTGTGTGTGTGTGTGTGTGCGTAGGTGTTCGTAGGTGTAGGTGTGTGTCGGTGTGCGTGTGTTGGTGTGTGTGTGTGTGTGTTGGTGTTCGTGTGTGTGTGTGTGTTTGTGCATGTGTTGGTGTGTGTGCGTGTGTGCGGCTTCCCTGTTGTGTGATGGGCCTGCCCGCGCGCTTCACTTTTCGCCTCCGGCCGCTGCCCCGCCTCCGCCGCGCGGCTGCGCGCGTGGCCGCGGCGCCACGCAAAGCCTGTGGCTCCCGTCTCCGTGCAGGCGCGCAGTGGGCGCAAGCCGTCCGCGCCATCGACGACATGGGCCGCCTCGGGCTGCAGCCCAGCGACGTGAGCTACGGCGCCGGCGTGCTCGCCTGCTTGGCGGCGGGCCGCGCCGAGGCCGCCTTCGCCCTGCTGGACCGCGCGTCCGCGCAGCTGGCGGAGCTGCCCGCCCACCTCCTCGGCCTGCTGCTCCCCGAGTGCGATGCGCGGGGGCTCCGAAGGGGGGGGGGGGAGCCAGGCTTCACGATTCCTGCGGCGGCTCCCCCCCGGTGTAGGGAGCGGCCTGGGGTTGGAGTTGTCAGACCCCCTGGACTACCCAAGGAGCATGTTGAGGCCAGCTTGGGCTGATTACCTCGGGGTGCTGTCCGCGAACAGCCTCAAGCGTTGCCAGGTGGAATCGGGAGGCCCACGCCGCCGTGTCTCGCCGCCTTTCTGTCTGTACTGGGCCGCCCGCATCCGCATCAGGTGCGAAGGGAAAGGGTCGGTGTGCCGCGCTGGCGGCGTGCAAAAGCCACTGCGTGAGGTCTCCGTGTCCTCGCGCATCTGACCATGTTGCCCTCCTTGCTCGCACTCCTGCCGTACCAGAGTCAGGAGCTCCTTCGCCTTCTCATGGGTTCACACCTTTGGAGGTCAGCGAACAGTTGGTTTCGTGTAGTATCGCAACATGTCCGTCCCAATCGGTCCATGGATGTGCAGGCTTTGTTGTTTGGGGGTGTTATGTTTCTTCATGGTGGCAGTCGTCCCGAGCAGTTCTGTCTTGTCCCATACGTACTTTCGTATTGTATTGCCGTCCTGTTTTCCAGATGTGAAGGACAACGTGATTCGGTATGGTTCCTTATTTCCAGATGGTCCGTTTCATGCAAATCGGATGAGTTGCCATATGCTATCAGTTACGTGCCTTCTTATGGCCTATGAGCTAGTCGAGGTTCCGACTTCGAGCCCAGCGCCACCGAGATTCACTCGACCCGGGCCCACGCAGGGGGGCAGCTGTCGGAAGAAAGAAAGCTTCAAGAGGCAGCAGCCTGCAGAGCTGATAGGACAAGATCACACTTTGCACCGATCCAGCGCCAGGCTCAGCCTGCTCAGCGTACGCATATCATTCGGCATGCAGCCCACATGATCGAGTAACACATGGGCTCCTCCTCCTCCTCCTGATCCCCATCCCCATCCCCTGCCGATCCTCCCATCCCTCTTCCTCCTCCCTCCTCCCTCCTCCTCCTCCTCCTCCTCCTCCTCCTCCTCATCCTCCTCCTCCCCCTTGCCTTGTCCTTGAGGATAGCTCCTCCCTGTCGCACCCCGGGGCCATTCGGAAGGGCGTCCGGGCGATGCGCCCTGGATGTTCTCACGACGTGCGGCCCTCGAGCGTAGAAGCCGGCAAACGCTTCGCAGGCGGAGGGCGGATGGGTTCCAGAGCGTGGGCTCTCGCCATAGCGCCGCTCGCATGATGGGCCTGTTTTCCACCACCACCACCATCAGTTGGAGGAGGAGGAGGAGGAGGAGGAGGAGGAGGACCCCCTTCCCCTCCAACTTATGGTGGTGGTGGTGGAAAACAGGCCCATCATCGCATGTGCGTGAGCCCTGCCCCGGGGTTTCACGGGTCGAGGGCGGGTCCTTTTCAAGATGCGGTGTTCTCCTTAGCTTTATGTCGGGCGTGTCCCCCTACAGGGGGAGTTTCGACGAAACATCATAAAATACCCCAAACATACCCCAACAAGCTCAAAAGATATTCAAGAACTAGTCCCCATCTTATTTTTGATTATTATTGGATTATTTTTGGTGTATGTTTTATTTGTCGTCGAAAATCCCCCTGTAGGGGGGACAGGCCCGATTTAACCTTAGCTTTGGGAGCAGTTATGTACAACAAATGCTTGGTTCTCACGGGTTCTTAACATACCAGGAATAGTTTTATGAAAAGATTCAGGATTGCCAGTGTGCAACATGTACGTTGATCCGCGGTGTTGAAGTCCCAGAAATGATGTTATGGCCCGATTCAGGATTGGCATGACGCAGCAGTCAAGTTTACTCGTGGCGTTGGAGTCATGGGAATGGTGTTTTTGCACGCGTCAGGATAGCCAATCGGCTATTTCGCACCTCCGAGTTGGAATGATTCTCTGTAGTGGCCTATGAAGAGGGAATCTGGAGGGAGGATTGCTTCGAGCATCGTTGATGAATCGTGGGTTTGCACTGGTCCTGCTTCTCCTGAACCTCCTCCACCTCCTCCTCCTCCTCCTCCTCCTCTTCTCTCTCTCGCCCGCAACGCTCGTTGGCGCCCCAGGGGGCCCCTTGCGCGCGGCCGAGGGACGCACCCACGCCCGGCTGCGTCGCATTTCGGTTTGAGGATAGGAGGGGCGAATAGTAGGAGCCCGCGCCGAGCAATCCCACAACCCCGAGGTTCCAGGAACGAGGAGGAGGGGTGGAGGGCACCCGTGCCTCTCGCATCGTGCGTGCTAGTCGATACGGGGTAGTGAGCATCTGGCGTAGTATATGTAGTAGCTCTGTCCGTAGCGCAGTCGACGGCATAGCCTTGCTGGTCAATTTGGTGAAGCGTACCGTGCATCGGCGTATCGTGGTACACCGCATGCGTCGAGGACAGGAAACAGATGTAGGCATTGCGCTCGATAGCCAGTCGCATACGCAAGCAGGAAGTCAGGGAAAGGGCCATATCCGCCCACGCGTTTCTGGGGCCCCTCCATGGTAGCTGTACGCGCACGCTTGTCGTACGGATGGGCACGCGTCGGTGAACCCATGGTGTTGTAGATTTTTTAAGCAACCGCATTGTCAGTTCGACCCAGGAAGGCAATGCAGCATTCGGAACCACCTGTGAGTGCAAGTTGCAAGGGGGGCTTCATATCGTCGGCTAGCTCCTCCTCACGGAGGCTCATGCAATGCACTTTCATCTCCGCGTGCTGGTTTGGCGTTCGGTAATTTGCTGAATATTCGATCCCGTAAATGTTGGCAACGATAGTGCGATCGAGGTCGCCGGCGGTTGAAGTAGTCGTAGCAGTGTACAGCGTGACGTCGTCTTCCTCAAGGGGGCCCCAGGGCATGCAGAAGTTGACGCTTACCGCCGATTCCCAAGGATGCGTTTCCACGATCATGTATATGCGCGACGGCATCAACGAGATGCCACATAGGGGTATGCTCACATATTGTCCGTTGTTTGGTCCCTGTGGTGTGTCATCGATACTAACATGCCGTGTATCCTCTTCGCATTTGGCTTGTCCGTGATCTGACGCCCGAGATCTGCGAATTGGTCTTGTCGCCCTTACCGTGCGTAACTCTGCAGAACACTTGTGTCCATTTGTTTTCGCCGCTTAAATCTCGCAGCCAACTGGCTGCGCCCGCCAGCGTCAAGTGTTGCTTGCTGGGAGCGTCCGTTGAAATATGTTGGAAGCTGGCCGTGCAGATGTAGGCGGTCATTGGTTTACGCCTGTGGATGTAGCCAGCTGGTCGAGCCAGTTGTTAGGTTTATGACACATCGTGATGTTGAAGAGTGTTTCGTATGGTTACGTAGAGTCATAATGTAACTCGCAAGGGAGAGACAGTCGGACAGGCGGGCTTGTGGTCAATGTGTCGATCGTAGCTCGTGTTCCAAACCTGTGCCGCACGGCAAACCATATGCGTGCTCCATTATACCCTGCATAGGTTCGCCTCAGGTTGAGTATGTCGTCCGCAAGGCCTGGGGGACTTACAGCGCTGCGTGGGTCCAGGGGAGGAGGAGGGAGGATGACGGCGCCATTCCACTGTTCCCAACAATCCTGTGGTGTTGGGTCTTCGTTTTGAAGAGACGGTGCCCGGCGTCTCCTCTCTCCTCTCCTCTTCTCCTCTCGTCCTCCTCCTCCATATCCTCCTCGTCCTCCTCCTCGTCCTCCTCCTCGGCCTCCTCAGCATCATCATCACCAGCATCATCACCAGTACCATCAATCTAACCAACCATCTGCACGCTTTGAAGAGACAGCGCCCCGCGTTCCTCCTCCTCTCATCCTTCCTCCCTCTTCTGCCTCTGCCCTCCGCACACTTCAGCCATTTCGGCACTCCCCTCGCACGATTCGTGGACCCATAGGGGGCTCCAGCGAAGGTCCCAGTTTCGGTGTTCGCATGCGTTTCCCCTACCCAGGACAACGTTTCGTGGCCTCACAAGGAGCTCCACCCAAGGCCCGCTTGGCAGTGTTCGCATGCGTTTCCCCCGCCCAGCTCAGCGCTTCGTGACCCCATAAGGAACTCCACCTGAGAGCCTGAATGGCGGCGTTCGCATGCGTCTCCCCCGCCCAGGGCAGCGTTTCGTGGCCCCACATGCAGCTCCACATAAGGCCCCGTTAGCGGTTTTCGCACGCGTCCCCCCTCCCAAAACAACGTTTCGTGGCCCCACAAGGAGCTCCACCCAAGGCCCTTGTGGTGGTGTTCGCATGCGCCTCCCCCTCCCAGGGCAGCGTTTCGTGGCACCACAGGGGGCTTCATTTACGGCCTCAGTGGCGGTGTTCGCATGCTTCCCCTCCAACCAGGAAAGCGTTTCTTGGCCCCACAGGGAGCTCCACCCAGGGACCCAGTGGCGGTGTTCGCGTGCGTCTCACCCAGCCAGAACAGCTTCTCGTGGCCCCACAGGGAGCTCCACCCAAGGCCCCAGTGGCACCGTCCACACGCGTCCACCACACCCATTTCGGCACACCCCTCATACGTTTCGTGGCCCCACGGGGAGCTCCACCGAAGGTCCTAGTGGTACCGTCCACATGCGTCCGCCATACCCATGTCGGCGCACCCCTCACACGTTTCAAGGCCCCATAGGGAGCTCCTCCCAAGGTCCCAGTAGCACCGTCCACATGCGTCCGCCACACCCATGTCGGCACACCACTCGCATAACTCGTGGCCCCATAGGAAGCTCCAGCGAAGACCCCAGTGGCACCGTCCACATGCGTCCGCCACACCCATGTCGGCACACCCCTCACACGTTTCATGGCCCCATAGGGAGCTCCACGCAAGGCCCATCAGCACCGTACACATGCGTCCGATACACCCCACGTCGGCACACAACTCACGCGTGTCGTGGCCCCGCAGGGAGCTCCACCGACGGCCCCAGTGGCAGCGCATGCGTCCGCCACAACCGTGTCGGCACACACCTCACACGTTCCGCGGCCTCATAGAGAGCTCCACCCAGGGCCCCAGTGGCACCGTCCACATGCGTCCGCCACACCAATTTCGGCACACCCCTCACACGCTTCAAGGCCCGATAGGGAGCTCCATCCAAGGCCCCAGAGGCACCGTCCACATGCGTCTGCAGCACCCATTCTGGCACACCCCTCGCACGTTTCGTGACCCCATAGGAAGTTCCACCGAAGGCCCCCGAGTCACCTCCCACATGCGTCCGCCACCCATTTTGGCACATCCCTCACACGACTCGTGGCCCCATAGGAAGCTCCACCGAAGATCATACTCATGACTGCGGTGCTCACGGCTGCATATGGTTGGGTCCTTCGCTTGGTTATTTTTTTGTTTACGGGGACGGAAGGTACGGAAGCGACCAGCGCGTAGTAGGTTCACGTAGAGAGAGAGAGGTACACTTCAGAGGAAGGAGCCTGCCCGTGGTATGGTACTGCCATGAGTTGCACAAGCCGTCGTACTCTCGGTTCTCGATATGTTCGCGGGTTGGACTCCGGTTTTGTAGTAGTGTGCCCCAGGGGGTTCGTAGCCGATGCCCTCGATCTTGTACTCGTCAATGATAGTGGCATGGTGCGCAATGTCCACGAAGATGAGGTCAAAGTCGTGCCTGTCATCTGATTTGTCCTGATCACTGCAGTATCCCACCAGTATGTCGGTGCCATGTGGTTTGCCCAGGCGTACCCTGTAATTGTCCGATGTCGCGTTGATCGCGTCGTAATGCAGGTTCGAGCTGTTGTACTTGATGGAGCCGGTGGGGTGTTCGTGTATGACGATCTGGTCCAAGTGTTTGTGACGTAGTCGCACAACTTCGTGAAGAGTTTCTCTGTTGCGCGTTCTGGAGGTTGCAGATGTTTATAGCCTCGCCCCCCTAAGACTTTCATGAATGAGGGTCCACACGTACCTCCGCCTTCTGTACGCCGTGACCCAGCAAACTAGTCAGCCAATTACTCCTCCTCCTCCTCCTCCTCCGCCTCGTCCTCCGCCTCCTCCTCCTCCTCCTCGTCCTCCCCCTCCGCCTCCTCCTCCTCCTCCCCCTCCTCCTCCTCCTCCTCCTCCTCCTCCTCCTGCCCCTCCCGCTCCCGCTCCTCCGCCGCCCGGCACCCGGGCGCCGCGCTGCCGCGCGGCCTCTTCGGAGCCCCCCGGGGGCAGCTGGGCGACGCGGCAGAGGGGCGCCACGGCGACGGGCGAAGCGCAAGACGTGGGCCAGAGGATGAAAAAGGCATATGTCACCAGCCTCGAGCTTACCCCTATCCCTAAGATTGACACGCCAAAAGGCGATGGCAATCTTAGGGATTCGCCTTGAAAACCTAAGGGAATCCCTGAGATTGGCATCGTTATGAGGAGATGCCCAGCATAGGGATAGGGATATGTTCCAGGCTGGTAAATATGCGTACCCACACCGCTACCCTTTCCTCGTTTGCCCCCTATTTTCGGGCCTCCTGGGAGGTCCTCGTCGCCACGGCTGGAGTCGCCTCGAGATATCGGTCGGAGCGCACCCCTGGAGAGGTCCGGGGAGCAGCGGTGGCGGCCGACGAGGAGCGTGAGGCTTCCCACCCCGCTGCGTCGTGGAACATGCTTGTTAGTCTGCGGCTGGTTGGTTCCAACAGGCGGTCGGGCTAACGGCGGGCCGCGACCGCCGCTGATTGCAGAAGATACTCATGCCAAGGAACACCCTGCTTGCCTCCAGGGTTTCTTGGGTTTCGATGGTTTTGCAATGGAAATCGCAAGGCTCCCACAGCCAAATTCAGTGGACGCCCTGGGGTCTCAGGGTTGGGTTTCTTGTGGAAGGGTTCTTGTGGTCGAGCTCCTACTGTACGGCGAAAGCAAAGGAGGGGCAAGAAGGGAGGAGGAAGCGGCACGGAACGGCTAAAGGGCTCTTTGACCGTGTAGATCGTCCAGCGGCGCCAGAGGTCGGGCTCATGGCTTCGACGACGGCGTAGCATAAGAGCGAAGGACATGCTGGAAGGCAAAGTTCCAGGGCAAAGCCACGCGCGCTGCTGCGTCGTAAAGCACTACACGAAGCTGCGGTGGCCCTGCGAAGTTTTTACTCTGGCAACGTACCCCACCCCGAACTGCAACCGTAAGGTTTCGCTATCGGGGCCCTATTGCCGATGTGTCAGCGATGCATCGCCGCTTCCAACTCCTTGTTCCTCCCCAGTGACATGGTCCCCACGATCGTGTCCCAAACATCTGCCGATATGATTTGTTCGATCTGCTGCCCCAGAGAAGTTTGGCCCCAGCTCTGCGTTCTGGGTGCATGCTCGGTGGCCCCAGGGCACGACAGCGAGCCCGATGAGGCCGCACACGAGAGACACGCCCAGATCTTGAACAGCAGCCACATCGTCGGAGATCTGAGCTCCGAGGGTGTATCTTCTGCCGTAGTCCCCCGGCTGCGGGCCCACACGGGCCGCCCCAGGACTGGCCTGCGCTCGTGGATTCTGGCCCCTCCGCGGCCTCCGAAGGCCCTGAGCCGCACACCGGCGGTCGCTCCTGCCCAGAGGCACTCTCACGTGTGGCCGACCTCTGCCCGAGGCGACCTGCTCCTCGCTCTCGGCCGCTCGGTCGGCCTCGGCGCCGGCCCCGCGGCCTGGCGCCTGCTGCAGTGCGGGCGGGCCCCCGAGGCCCCGCCGCTGCTGCAAGCGCCGCGGCCTCCGCCGCCCAGGTCCGCCCTGCCTCCATGCGGCGTCTCGCGGCGCATTCTGGCCGCCTGCGGCGCGCCCGTGGCGCTGGCGCCGGTGCCCACTGTCGCTTCGCCGAACCCCATCCCCAGCTCCATCCCCACCGTCCCACCACTCGAGTTGAACCACCTACATCCCCATGCAGCTGGGGGGTATGTCGGCCGGTGGTGCCAGGGCCCGTTGGGGATGGGGAGCGGTTGAGCGATGCTCAGGTGCCGCCGCTGCGGCGCCCGCGGAGGCAGCCCGCTCGCGGCGTCGAGGGCGCGCTGCCGTCGGCGACGGGCGGCGCGGCCGCCTGGCGGCGCTGGCTGCGCAAAACGGCGGCGTCCGCCCCGATATGGCAGAGGAGGAACCCAGACATGCGACGTCTTCATTTTGTTCAATACGGGGTCCCTGGAAGTCCCGACCCTTCCCCCAGGACCGGTTTTTCATTCTGAGTCGTTTTTGTCCCCACATGGTTAGTGGAGTTCTGGTTTTCTCCCTTCTGCATCGCACCCGCGCCTCCTTCTACACACCTCCCTCTTCCCCTCCTCTTCCTCTCCTCCTCTTCCTCGCCTGACCCGCGCGCAACACATGCAAGGCACGTACGTGAGACACGCGTTTTACATACAGCCGCACGCATGCGCACACGCAAAACACATGCGCTAAATATTCACTGGGCGTGGCCGGCGTGGCAGGCGCACTGCATCATACACCCAAGACGTATGCGCACGGTCGCCCAGGGCATCGCAGGCGTTGCATATTCTCGACGCCACAGGGGGTGCTCTGGGGGGGGGGGGGGGGCGCTATGCGTTGCAGGCTCGCAGAGCGTGGCATGCGTGGCATTTCCTCGACGCCATCGGAGGTGCGCTTGGGGTGGGGGCGCTAAGCGTTGCAGGCTCGCAGGGCGTGGCAGGCGTGGCATTTCCCCGACACCACAGGGGGTGCGCTGGGGGGGGGTGGGGGGGGCGCTATGCGTTGCAGGCTCGCAGGGCGTGGCAGGCGTGGCATTGTCTCGACGCCACAGGGGGTGCGCGGGGGGTTGGGGTATCTATGCGTTGCAGGCTCGCAGGGCGTGGCAGGCGTGGCATGTCCTCGACGCCACAGGGGGTGCTCTGGGGGTGGGGGCGCTATGCGTTGCAGGCTCGCAGGGCGTGGCAGGCGTGGCATTTCACCAACGCCACAGGGGGTGCGCTGGTGGTGGGGGCGCTATGCGTTGCAGGCTCGCAGGGCGTGGCAGGCGTGGCATTTCCTCGACACCACAGGGGGTGCGCTGGTGGTGGGGGCGCTATGCGTTGCAGGCTCGCAGGGCGTGGCAGGCGTGGCATGTCCTCGACGCCACAGGGGGTGCTCTGGGGGTGGGGGCGCTATGCGTTGCAGGCTCGCAGGGTGGGGGCGCTATGGGCTAGAAGGCGGGGTGGGGCGAGAAAGTTCAAACAATGGTGTAATGGATGGCAAGATAAGAAAACATTCGCGACAAGGGTTCAGAACGCAGGATTGCGCATAGATGGCAATGATACGCAAACGCGTAAGATTTAAATTTATTATGTGGGGTTCCTCGGTAGCGTAATTGACGGTCCCAACTCCCGGCGATGGCCCCCAGAAGCTGAAATTGGCCAAAAACCTCCCGTCCTGATTTGTACGACGCGATCATGCCCGGAAGGAAATACCCACGCCGCTGCCCTTTCCCTCGTCCCCCCTTGGCTGCCTTCGCCCTGAGGGAGGGGCCGGGCGGGGGGTGGGGTTCGGGATGGGGGGGGGGGGGGGAGGGGGGTCCCCCTGGTTTTGATCGACGGCGCCGAGTGTTGGGGGGGGCCCCCCCCCGTCTTGAAACTCGCCGCCGAATGTTCCCAAGGCAAGCGCCCGTGAAACGCGCTCTCGAATGTCTCTTCCCATCTCCCAGCACCGGTGTTGCATCCCGAGCTGTGTTCTGACGCCACCGGGGCCAGAAAGGCCTTTCCGAGCGCGGCGGTTATGGTCAGAAGCCCTTCGCCGTGATCTCCTCACGACGCACGGTGTGGGGTCTGGGAGAGACGGATGGGAGGGGGCGGTGGCGCGTCTTTCCAGCCATGCGGTCAGGAATTTTGGCTCAGCGTGTCGTTCTGCCGGTTCTGGCCCACCACGCTTCGGCGCGACACGCTATCCACGTCCCCCAAGCGTCAACGTCCCGAGCCTTTCCCAGCCTCTCCCCCCTCGGAGCGGAGTGAAACGCTAACCGCTTGCGGGGCATAGCGTGTCGCCAGAGCCGCCGCCGCGAAACTCCGAGATCTCCCGACCGTGAGCTCGCCCGACTCCTCTGCCGAACCCGCATTCTGGCGCCAGGCTGGCCGCCCACCCCATCCCGCCGCCGCGCGCCGGCCCGCGATGCCATGGGCGCGGGCGGGCGATGCCGCGTGTGGGCGCCGTGGGAGCCGCGCGCTGCCTTCGCCTCTGGGGAAGCACTCTCGTTGAACATGAGGTGGCTTAGTACGGCGAGGGAAGTGGAAAGGGAACCAGTGGTAAGGTATCCAGGATCTGGAAGCTGGCGGAACTCCGATAGTGGGTTGGGCATGGGTATCGCCGCCGCCCTCATTAGATACGGTCTCCTCCGGGGTCTGATGCCTCCAAGGCAACGCCCCCACCGTAAGCATAAGCTTGTGGAGGTTCGCGCGGATCTCCTGGATCGGTGTTGGACCCCCTCTGGCGGCGCCTCCAGCGCCGTCCCTGGTGCGGTCCGGGTGCAGCGCAGATCCTGAACAATAACATCCCGGGGTGAGTGGGTCCGAGGCCCCCAAGGGGGGTTCAAAGGTCCGCTGGGAGAGGCCTGTAGCTTCCATGGAGTCCCAAAGACCGGAGCCACCAGAACCCAGAGGGATGATGATGACGATGATGATGATGATGACGATGATGATGATGCTGCTGATGATGATGATGATGATGACGATGATGATGAGGAGGAGGAGGATGAGGATGAGGATGATGGTGCTGATGATGAGGATGAGGATGATGATGATGATGCTGATTCTGATTCGGATTATAATTCTGATTATGAGGAGGATGAGGAGGATTTTGAGGAGGAAGATGAGGAGGAGGAGCCGCCGTCGGGCGGAGGAGGGAGAAGGGAAGGGAGGACGACGAGGAGGAGGAGAAGCAGGAGGAGGGCAGGGGATCGGAGGAGAAAGAGGAGGGGGGCAAGAGGAGAGCAGGATACGCAGGAGTGCCTGCATCTCGCTCCTGCCTCCTCTCCCGCATCCGCTCCTGCATATCTTCCCCGCGCGCAGCCCGCGGCGCGGCACTTCGCGCGCTGGCGGGGACGCCCCGCCGGAGCCCTCTGGCGCGCGGGAGGGGCCGGCCTCTCGGGGCTCGTTGAGAGTGCTCGGAGCACTCGTGGCGAGCCTTGCTCTCTCGAGCCTCGGATCTCGGAGAGCTCTTTTAGTGCGCGCGTCCGGCCCGGCGGTTTCCGAAGTTTCTGCTGGCAGGTGTTGTGTCGCCTCGGGGTGCTCTCTCCAGCAGCTGCGGCTCGCGACGGCGTTCCGATGGAGGGCCCGGATCGTCCCGAGCAGCCGCCAGAGGCCCGCGTCATGGCTCGGAGGCCACCGACTCTCCCAGGCCTCCAGCATGTTGAAACAAAAAAACGCAGGGAAGACGTTTGAGTCGCCGTGTCTGGCCTCAAGGGGGCCTTCACTGACCGGGACCGTGCGTCCAAGGGCTGCTCAGGAGGAGAAGCTGGCGCCATGGCGGGAGGGCCGGGACTTTCTCACGGCCCGCGCGTGGAGCTCAGCACATAGGAGCGACGCGGAAGTCTCCGAAGGGGCCCCGCGCGCAGTCCTCCGGCCCGTCCTGCCTCCGCGCGCCTCCGTACAGTGCCGTTTTTAATACATGCTCCGCGTGCGGACCATGTAGTAAAAATGCAGGGATTAAGTATTAACACAACGATGAGTTCATGCATACATGTATTCATACATCAATCATGTATTCAGAATCCTATATTTAATAACATCCTATGCATTAAAACCTGCCCTGTAGCGGCTCCGCGTGCGGATCATGTATTAAGAATGCAGGGGGTTAGCATTAGAGCAACGATCATTTTTATGCGTAGATTCATGCGTACATTCATTCATACATCAATCACGCATTACAAATCCCATAGTTAAAACAAAATCCTATGTGTCAAAACCTGCCCTGTATAGCGAGGAGGCGGCGCGAGCCGGGCAGGAGCTGCACGCCGCGCTGACGGGAGAGGGCGGCGAGAACTTCCGGCACCTCCGGGCCAAGTACCCGGGAGTCGAGTTCGCCGTCGTCGGGGGCGGCGGCGCGCAACCCGTGGGGGTCGAGGCGAGAGCGTCAAGTCGGGCCTGTCCCTCTATACAGGAGAAGTGTTCAAACACATTCAAAGATTAGTCTGGGGGCGACTTTTGGGCTATTGTTGACTGTTTTTGAATACTTTTGGCCATTTTTGCTTTTTGTCCACCCGCCTGTGGGAGGACATGCCCGACCTAACTAAGGCGAGCGGCGTTGCGGGCGGCATCCTGGAGCGGGTGTCCAGGGACCTGACCGAGCTCGTCGAGTGCGCGTGCGAGGTTCGGGAAGGGGCCAGGACGAGGATAAGCCGGCTTCTCACAGAGGGCGCTCCAGTACTCGCAAAGTGCCTACTCGCAAGCGTCCGAGAAAACAACACATGCGTGCCTGGATGTGATGGATCGTACATACCTCGCAGCGGACCCAGGCCATTTGCGAGTAGTTAGTTTGCGAGTTGTGGAACGCGCGTGTCCAGTTCCAAAGCGTTCCGGAACGCTCTCAGCGCCTCCCAGGACGCTCTGAAACGGCCGCGGCGCCCGATACATCTTCCAGAGCCAGCGGATCTCGGAGATTCTCGACTCCTCCCCGCCCGAACGTATCATCGTCCCCGTTTCGTCTCAGAGGTGGTCGCCTTCGCCCTCGGCTGCGACGACGCCGAGCTGCGGCGCATGCTCGGGGGCGTCGCAGCGGAGGCCCAGCGCCAGGAGCACAGCCCCGGGGAGGGCCCCCGGCGGGAGGCAGGAGCCGCGGCGCCGCCTCTCGCCGCGGCCACGCTGGAGGCGCACGCGCGGGCGCTCGCGGAGGCCTTCGTCATCGAGGAGCGAGAAGCGGCACAAGCACTCGCCAGGGGGGAAAGCGGGTCCTGAGGGAAGCGGGCCTGGAGGTGTTTCGCCGTTTTGGGCCTCCCTCGGGCCCCGCCTCGGGCCCCTGGGCCGTCAGAGGAGGGCATCATCAGCGTGAGGGGGCCGAACGGTCATTTCTTGTCCCTGGGTGCGTGGCTGAAGTGCGTGGCTGAAGTGGGGTTCCGTGGCCCAGACTATTGTTTTTTGCTGTTGTTTATTGTTGACGTCGTCCTCGCCGGCGACCCGCCCGCGACCCACCCCCCCGCGACCTATCCCGCGACCCACCCCGCGACCCACCGCGCGACTCACCCCGCACGCCGCCCTCTCTTACCCGCTACTGCGGGGTGCTACATCATCTCTCGGCGATCCGCGCTTATTCTTGGACCGGCTTTGGGCCTCTCTGGCGGGTTCCGCGCGCCGGGGAGGGGGGCTTCAGCGCCGATCCAAGGAGTGCGTGCGGACCTCCGGGAAATATGACGTTTGTGCCGTTTTCTGTTCCTCCACTTCAGCACCGGCGATCCCGACGAGCTTGCGGCGGGAGCTCCGCCCGAGGCTCCTCCGCACAGCTCGTGCGCATCGCCCGAGGATGGCCCGGCCAGCAGGGTGCCGAAGCGCGAGGCCGAGGAGTCACGGGCCATGGCGCTCGCGGAGGCTTTCTTCAGCACTGGCGACTCCGACGAGCGCTTCGCCAAGAGGGGGGCGGAAGGCTCGCGGAGCCCGCGCACACCGCCCGGAGAGGACCCAGCCGGCATTCTGCCGAAGCGCGGGACGGAGGCGGCGCACGGGCGGGTGTTCGCGGGCTCTTTCGGCGAGCCCGCCTGCCAGGGGCGGGCGGGAGGCTCGTGCAGCTCGCGCGCGCTGCCAGGAGTGGAGATGGCAGCCGCGGCGCCCAAGCTGGAGGCGGAGGGGGCGCACGCGCGTGCCGTCGGCTCGTGCAGGTTGCTCATGGCCGATCTGTCCGCCATGATAACGAAGCGGGAGGTGGACGCGAAGATGCCAGGACTCAGAGGGGAAACATGTATTACACAGGTGTATCTTTGTGTGTATATATACATATTATATATATGTGTGTATAAATGTTTATCTCCATATGCAAGCACGTTGTTCACATACGTGCACAACCTTTGTACATCCATTGCGTACATGCATATATATATATAATATGCATATATACATGTATATACATACATGTATATGTATATATATGTATATATATATATATACATATATATATATATATATATATATATGTATGTGTATGCCCGCTCCCGCCACGCGCCTCTCGTCGCCACGGCCGGATTCGCTTAGAAACCTGGGTCAGAACGCACCTGTGGAGAGGTATGGGTAGCAACGATGCTGGGATCGCTCTGTTCGCTGAAGGACTGGTGGATGCCTTCTGTTCTCCACTGTGCGGCACAGACCTGGCGGACATGCAGCCAAGCGTCGTGGGTCCGGGTGGCGGCGCGGACCTGACCGTTTTTCGCCTCGCGGGCGTCGCGGAATCGAGTGGCGAGAGCTGCGCGGACTTGGCGGGCTTCCGCCTGGAGGGGAATTCGGAGCTGCTGGGTGAGGGCTGTGCGGATCTGGCTGGCTTCCGCCCCGTGGGCGTCGCGGAGTCTGGTGGCGAGGGCTGCTGCCCGGAGGGGAATTCGGAGCTGCCGGGCGAGGTCGTCGCGGACCCTGCTGGCTTCCGGATCGCGGACCCTGCCGGCTTCCGCCCCGCAGTGGCCTCCATGGCGGCGTGTCGCGGCCATCCCCTCCCCGTGCAGGCCCCCACGCCCTGCGCGCGCGCGGTAGCTGCGGGCCCTGGCGGTGGCGGCCGAGGTGGCGTGATGGAGGTCGATGTTCGCTCCGCAGCCGTCGCAGAGCCAGCGGCGCTGGTGGAGCCACAGGCCGAAGAAGAGAGCACTTTCTCCAACGCCGACCCCAAATATGAATGCAGAATGCGTCAACAGAACAGCCGCATGCTCAGCAGTGGCGACCTCAGCAGCAGCCACATCAGCAATGCCGGCAGAGGTCTCGGAACACGCAGTCCTTATCCTTAGGTAAGAACCTTTTCTGCTAAAGCATATGTGGGGGAGCACACGAACATTAATTGTCGGAGGACCGCGGGGATTTTCTGGATCGGCGTGGGACCCCCTCTGGCGGCACCTCTGGCGCCGCCCCTGGCGTGCTGCACGCGCCGAGGAGGGGCCTCCAGCGCCGATCCAGCAGAAATGCGCGGACCTGCGAGTCTGTGCTCGATTTGCTCGCTGCCTTCAAGCAGGCCCTGCGAGGCCTACCAGAGGCGACGGAGATCTCGGACGAGGAGGAGGTCGTCGTCCTCAGGGGCTGCGCCAGTCCCCTGGCGGTGGCGCCCGGGGGCGTGTTCGCGGTGCGGCCGCCAGACCAGTGGCACGCGGGAAGAGAGATCAGAGCCTCCGGGTCAGTCCAAGCACAGTCAACACGCCGAGATAAGGACCAGCTTGGGCTCAGGGGGGGCCTTTGGTTGTAGGGCCGCTCCGTAGATCTATGTCGGAGAGCCTCCCAGCGGACGAATCTCGCCGAGGCTAGAAAATCCCCTCGTTCCTTGTCCGGCGTTCTCTAAAGCAGCAAGCTGGCTGCACCCTCAACATTCAGTGCATCGACACTAGTTTGGTGCGGGTTGGCAGCGAATCCCGCTTCCCCGGAAGCTTCTAAGCGGGGGCCAAGTCTTGCTGAATCCTCTTCGAGATCCGGCGTCGCCCGAAGATCGCAATGCCGCGGTCAAGGCACGGCCGGAGCCCCTCCCGCGGCATCGCTCGAGGCGGATCGATCCGCGAGGGCCCCCACATCCGAACACGGCGCAGAGGCACGCGAGCGCGCGGAGCCCGAGTGCGACGTGTGGGGGGTGTCCTTCCCTCAGAGTGCCCTCTGGGGGCTGTCGTGGAGCGACCACTGACCAGGACTCCACGGCGACGAGCTCCCTCCCAGGAGGGCCAGACAGTCCTGCCCTCCACCAGCGTTGCCTCAGCAGTTCCCCGGCCGCTCCGGGGAGAAGCCCGGATGGCCGCCAGAGCACCCCCTTCACGGCCCTGGGGGGCCCGAAGGGAGTGGGGGCCCCGGGGGGGGGGTGGAAAGCTGGGGGACCGGAGCACCTCTGCTGGGCCCCTCCCGCCGGGGAGCACGGCGATGACAGCCATCAGCGCATCGCGCCCTGGGCCGCCAGGGCGGCGGCGCGGGGGCGCGAAGAGAACCCGCGCGTCGCGCATCGCGACGTACGGCGCTCGCAGTCACGTGGCCCAGCCTCTAGCAACAGTCCACTGCCAAGGCAGGAACGGCAGACCGCCCCAGCCCCCACGGCTGGTGTTTGCTGGGCCGCCCTGGGCGTTGACCAGACCGTCCCGCCCTGCTCGGTTTCTCGGGTGCCTTTACTGAAGAGCTTCGCTCGTGGTTCTTATCAGAGGGAGGCGGGGAGGGAGGAGGAGGGAGGAGGAGGGGGAAGGGAAGGAGGGAAGAGGAGGGGGGAGGGAGGGGGCCGGCCGGACTCGACACTGCAGCAGTCTGCGCGCCGTCCTCCTGAAGGCCCTCACACTGAGAACAAATGGGAGAAGGAAGGAGCAGGGAAGAGGGGGGAGGGAAGAGGGATGAGGGAGGAGGGATGGGGAGGAGGGAGGAGGGAGGAGGCAGGCGGAGCTCAGAGAAGAGATGTTTCTCATTGAACCCCGATGCGAATACGGGTGCCACTCTCTGTCTGATTGTCGGATCAACTACACACCTTTGTGATAAGAACATGTACTACCTCTGATATTACCTGGATTCTAGCTCCGGTTCCAGTGTCCCGAATTCAAGCCCAGAAAATCTTAAGCTTTTTAAATCGTGGGCGTTTCTAGGTCATCAAACGTTGGGAAAACAACTTCAATGCATATACTACAGCCTCAAAACGATAAGAACGTATACTACACTGTACTAAAGGCCGAGGCAAGAGACGAGTGATCAGGCCTTCGCGACGTGAGTCGTCGCGTAGCTCAGCCCGAAGAGCCATTCGGGGTACACCATTCCACACGATATAGACCATGGCGTAGATCTGACCAGGGTCCTGGTCAGGGTGTATGGCTCCGACAGGAATGGAAACTCATATCATCATGCTAATACTTCAAATCCAGTAGATCCGTCTCGTCGAAGCTGGTCTGAGGTCCGATGATCGTTCGCATGGTCACGTACTTATTCTTGGGAACCTCGACCTTCCAAACTCCTGTGGTCATGTGCATCATACGGAGCTGAAAGACTCCGCACTTAGTAAGATCGTCAAACAGCATCACCTCAGTGTGTAAATGAAGACAATGTCGAATACGTCCTGAGAATCGTTCCTCACGCATTGCTAATACTGCCAGTCGAGCCCCTTTGTCACTGGGTACGCCCTTTACTCCACAACATAGTTGCCAAAAATCCATACAGTCCGTACAGTGATCAACTCGCATCTGATATAAGCTTCCGTCGAATGAATACCTCCATCATATCTACTGCTTTGTGCTGGACGTCTGAACAGGTGATGATCTCTGTGAGTCTGAGGGCTTTGAACTGGGCACTTCGGTTAACTTTGTAGCCTGTGTCCGTCTCCGCGTGAAATGTCGAGTTTGATATACGCTTGGCCCTGTCTGAGGCCAATGATAGAGTATGACAATTGCCGCCAATCATGAAAGCATCGTCCGGGTGAACCGGATCCTTTCTCATTCTGAGTTCGTGTATGTGGTCTTCCATCAGACATACCGCCGTGCCCTCCTGAGGATATGATGTCTTTGTGCCGCCGTGACTTGCGTCACCGATAGAGACCAAACGAACTGGATAACTGAGCGGTTCGAAGTTAAGTCTTGCCATCCTCTTAAATCTCTGGGCTCGATCGATGATGAGGTTCGCCTGTATAAGATGTCTAATGTTGGCCTTCCGTACTTGTTGCTGTAACTGCAAAACTTCACAGCCTATGTTTTCACGTGTCTAACATAACCACAAAAATTGCAAAGCGCGCTCCTCAAATCGTGCTGCTGCTGATGATTGCACTCCTTCCCCGTCTTGTCTTTCAGTGCTGGTTCGATGAAGATCCTTTTCAATGACTCCGCAAAAGTCTTGTGATGAATGAATAGATGTCTGGGTCGTAGTTGCTCGTAGCTCATACCCATATGTGTGAACGTTAGCTGATGACGTTTGATTTTCCCGAATCGTTTCTCCATCTCGGTCAACCTCCAGCATAAATACGTCGTCTTGGCCAGCGCTATGATATCGTCCACGTGCACAGTCCAGACCATCATGATGCTACCCTCCTTAATCCACATAAAGAAGTGGTTGGATACCAGATAGATCTTCCATCACAAATTTTGATAGTGCTAGCTGCCACAGGAGTGGTGCGTCCACTGTGCCATAGATGGGCTTCAGGAGCTGCACCAGGAAGAACGGTACCTCAAGCTAGAGATTTCTGATGTTCGGCTTGGGATAATCTCGCAAGTGGCGCCAAACGTTGGCTGTTGATTTGGAATCTACCTTGCGCTGCTCCCTGGCTTCGATGCCCATCCGCTTCGCATTCCGACGTAGTGTCTCGTAGGATAGGCCCTGCAAAAATACCGTCGATATGCCCCACGTCTCCAGGGTCAGTTCCTTGTCCAGTGAGAAGAGCGAGGCGATATTCCTCTGAGAGAGTCTGGAAGCCCTAGAAGGATGTCTCATTACGTCGTTCTTTTGAGCATCTAGAAAACCCCTGACACAGAGGCGAGACTTTGTGATCCAGGAGACTTCGTTCTTGTCGTTGTAGACCTTCTTCCAGCGTGTGACCCATGTCGCGTCAATGATATTGTTGGTGTCCAGACTGTTCTGATGAGTTGCACGGAAGCGCTGACTGTCGATGAATGGTCGAGCTTCGGCAATGTTGGCTGATTCGACCTTGTCCCAGTGAGCAATAACATCTGCTTCCGTAAGAACATCATGTGATTGTGCATAGATCGCCTCACCAGTCAGAAGATCGAAATAGAACGTCCGATCCTCTTTGGTATGATCCAACGGGCCTCCGACGCTGTCCAGGATGTCGTGCTGTTCCGCGTAATTCGTAGCATGAGCAATGCCAATCTGCTGATCACCGAAGGCCACAACGCCCTCCAGAATCTTGCGCCGTTTGGTCTCCGCCAATCTAGGTGGTGAGGTCGATGCTGCTGATCCCAGTCCTTCAGTCGTCCTTGATCCTTGATGGGTAATGGTCACTTGCCGGTATCAGGAGGTGCCGAGGATAATCGCAATCTGACGTTTTTGCTCTCAGGTGGTTGTGACGGTGAGATCTTTCCCCCAGTGATCTCGATGTCGTCATTGTGGCCCGAATCGTTTTTCTTCGCGTTCTGTTGAGCTTGAACGGGAGATGGCTCGACCTCCTTGGTCTTCTTGGGCGATCCGTAATCATCCGTCGGTATTGGTGATGATGCGCCTTCGGGGGCCTCGTCGTACACGATGGTCCTCTTGTCGGCCTCTGGCGCGTCGATCCTCACAGGAGTTGGTTCTTTTTTGATGCGGATGTCCGTAATCTGTGCCGGTGAACTCGTCTTAGCTGGGCAGCTTGCTGTTGCGGGAGCTGTCGCGTTGGACTCGATCGGTGGCACTACCAATGTGGGAAATCCGGAGGAAGAGGAAGCTGAGGGTTGAGAGATAGGTAATGCTGCCTGACTTCCAGTGCCTGATTCCTTCCGTTGCCGTGGTGGTGAGCTGCTGAGCTCCTGTCGCTCGATCTTCTTCTGCCATGTCTTAGGTATCGAAATGGGGGCTGCAGCTGGGGCCTCGATAGGTAGCGATGTCCTCGGCGTTGGCGCAATAGGCTTGGGTACTGGAGCTGCAGGAGGAGGAACCCCAGGAAAGTCGGGTGATTCACCAATGCCAGCAGCTTCCGCCATGCTGTGATCGTCGATGTCGAATGGTATCGCCTGGTCAACTTCAAGTTCCTGAATCTGCATTCTCGGCGATGCCGGGGGTGCTGGAGGAGCTGGAGGAAACGGAGGTCGTGGTTCCATGATGTTGGAGGGACTGCTGATCGTATCGCTTCCTTCTTGCCACGTCATATCTCGATCGCTGATGTCGAACCTCTCTGGACTCACTCGAACTCCAGATGGTGCTGGACGGGGGCACGGAGGCCTCCGCAAGTGCCGGGCAGCCGCAGCAGGTTCAGCTCCTGGGCCACGCGGCTAGGAGAAAGAGGAGGCAGGAGGAGGAGGGAGGAGGAGGAGGAGGAGGAGGAGGAGGAGGAGGAGGAGGAGGAGGGAGGAGGAGCAGGTGGAGTACGAGAAGGGAGAATGCGGAGAAGGAGGTGCCTTGCCCTCCAGAGTGCTCTCCAGGCACCGCTGGGCGGACCCGCGCTGGCGGGCCCCCGCCGCGCCGCGGGGGTGGCAGGGCATGTCCTCGGCCACGGCCGCCGGCGCCGCGGGGCGAGGCGGCGGGCCGCGGAGCCTGCGGATCTTCTGGGACGACCTAGAGGTCCTCGGCGGAGCGAAGAGCGCCTGCTCCTCCCTCCTCCTCCTCCTCCTCCTCCCTCCTCCTCCTCCTCCTCCTCCTCCTCCTCCTCCTTCTCCTCCCGCTCCTCCTCCTCCTCCTCTTTCTCCTCCCGCTCCTCCTCCTCCTCCTCCTCTCCCTCCTCTCGCTCCTCCACCTCCTCTTTCTCGTGCTTCTCCTTCTCATTCTCTTCTTCCTCATCAGTCTCATCCTCCTCCTCCTCCTCCTCCTCCTCCTCCTCCTCTTCCTTTCCTTCCTCATGGATAATTGTTTCCTGTCTCAACCCGAGGCTGGTGGGAAAGGCTGGCTGGGCGTTTCGCTTCAGACTTCATTATCACTCATGATCCTGAGGCTTGCAGATTAGCAAGGGTTTCACGGATGGCGGGCGAGTCGTTTTCAACATGTGGTTCTCGTTTCAGCGCCGCGCACACTCGCCTTAACAATTTGCAACAGTTTCACGCCTTGAGAGTGGGTCGTTTTCAACATGTGGCTCTCGCCTAAGCGCCGCGCGCATCCGTTCCAAACATTGGCAAGGGTGTCAGGGATTGACGGCGGTTGGTTGTCAAACTGTGGCTGTCGCTTTAGCGCCGCGCACACTCGTTTTAAAATTGTGTAAGAGCTTCGCGGGTTGAGGGCGGTCCGTTCTCAAATGTAGTTCTCGCATGAGCGCCGCGCACCTTCGTTTACAAACATGTGTAAGAGCTTCACGGAATGAGGGCGGCTCCTTTTCAAAATGCCGTTCTCGCTTTAGCGCCGCGCATATGTTTAACAAGGGGTTTTCGGGCACCCATGGATAACGTACCAAGAATTGTGTTTTCGAGCGGATCAAGATTGCCATGGAGCAACAGTTACGTCGCTTCGCGGTGCCGAATTCCCAAGATTGGTGTTTCGACGGTTCGGGATCGTCAAGACGCGACAGCCGGGTTGATTCGTAGCGTTGATGTTCCGGGAATGGCGTTCTGGCACGCCTCAGGATCCTCAAACGTTTATCTCCCAACGGGGCACTTCCCTCAGTGAGAATGAATCCTTGCAGGCGCCCGTGAAGAGGGAGCTTGGAAGGAGTGTTTGTTCCAACACCGTTGGTGAGTCTTGGGTTTGCACTGGTCCTCCTCCTACTCCTCATCTTCCGCCTCTGGCTTCTCATCGTCTTCCTCCTCCTCCTACTCCTTCTCCTCATCATCATCCTCCCTCCTTCTCCCTCCTCCCTCCTCCTCCCCCTCGCCCAAGAAGTCGGGCGCCTTCTACAGATTTTCTGAGACGGCCTGGTGGTCCTCGGCGGAGCACGGAGGGGAGGAGATGGCGGATTGGGTGCAGGTGGAGGAGGAGGACCATTAGAAGGAATAGGAGGAGGGGGAGGAGTGGGAGTAGGAGGAGGAGGAGGAGGAGGAGGAGAAGGAGGAGGAGGAGGAGGAGGAGGGGGGCTAGGAGGAGGAGGAGGAGGAGGAGGAGAAGGAGGAGGAGAAGGAGGACCAGTGTAAACCCAAGAGTCATGAACGATATTGGAGTAAACCCTCCCTCCAAGCTCCTCTTCATAGGCCCCTACAGCGGTTCATTTCCACTGATGGAACTGCCTCGTTGGTAGACACCGTTAGAAGACCCTGAAGCATGCCAAAATTTTGTCCTCTGGATTCCAACGCCACGGATCAACCTGACTGTTGCGTCATGACGTTTCTGAATCGTGCCAGAGCGCCAGTCCCAGGCCGTCAACACAGAGAATTAACGTAACTGTTGCGCCCGCATAATCCTGAGCCCTCCCAAAACACCGTGTCTGGTATGCTGATGTTGGGAACCCGAGAAACTCTTTCATTGTCTTAAAAACGTGCGCGCCGCGCTGAAGCGAGAGCCACATATTGACAAGGAACCGCCAACAATCCGTGAATCGATTGCACATGTTTAAAACGAATGCGCGCGGCGCTAAGGCGAGGGCCACATTTTGAAAACCAACCGCCCTCAATCCGTGAAGCTGATGCAAATGTTTAGAACGAATGTGCGCGGCGCAAAGGCGAGAGCCACAGTTTAAAAACAACTCGCCCTCAATCCTTGAAGCCCTTGCAATGTTTTCAAACGAATGCGCGCCGCGCTAAGGCGAGAGGCACATGTTGACAACCACCCGCCCTCCATTTGTGAAACTGTTGCCACTTCTGACGCTTCAGAATCATAAAAGGTGAGGAAGTCCCAGACGAAACGCCCGGTCCGCCCTCAAAACTGGCCTCGGGGTGCGACAGGGGGAAGCTATTCATTATAAGGAAAAGGAATGGATCAGGAGGAGGAGGAGGAGGAGGAGGAGGAGGAGGAGGGGAGGAGTTCATATCAGATGAGGAACAGGAGGGGGGGATGGAGGGGGATGAGAAACAGTCCGCCTCCCGGCCCCCCCTCGCGTCACGAAGAGGTCACGGCGGAAGCTCTGTGCCAGCTTTCTGCCCCCGGGGGGGCCCTCGGGGCCATGGGGCCGCCGTCCACAGAGACGAGCCCAGGCCGAGGCGCGTGCCCCAGGGGGAGGGGGCCCCACACACCTTCTGGGTGCCCACGACGTGGGAGAGGCGCGACGTCGAGCCTCTCGGGGCCGCCTCCCCCTCTTCTGGGCGCGCGCTGCCACGGCAGCCCCCCCTGCACGGGCACGACCGTCCGGGGCAGGGCGTTGCAGACCTGCACCGCGGTGTGCACCGAGAGAAACCGTCGTCGTCGTCGTCGTCGTCGTCGTCGTCGTCGTCGTCGTCGTCGTCGTCGTCGTCGTCGTCGTCTTGTCAAGACGGCCTCGTCGTGACGGCACCAGCGACGCGGTCGTCGTCGCTCTTGGATCTGGGCATTCCCGTCTCCTGACAGGCGCAATGCCGAGTCAGATCTGGTCCGATCGGGTCCGATCCGACCCTCCTCGTTTGGGGGGGGGGGGCCCTCGTCGCCACGGCTGTGCGCGGCTCGAAGGGCAGGCCAGACGGACCCCAGGAGGGGGCCGCGGGACAGTCTGAGCGGGTGTCTGGTCGGAGGCGAGACGGGGGTGTTGATCCGCTGCCCATGGACTATAGCCCCCTTTTCTCGCAGGCCTAGAGATTATCACCAACACCAATTTCGGCAGTGTGCCTCCACCGGGGGAAGAAGATCCCGATCTCGGTGATGGTGGTAATATTCTGGCTTCCAAGGTGGCCGAAATATTACCACCAACACCGAAAATCTAGGATCATCTTCCCCCTGTGGAAGCAACCCTCTGTCTTGGTGTTGGTGCCAATTTCCAGGCCTCCGATCTTCGTCCAACCTGGGACGCCTGTCTTCCCCGCGTGCACCCCCCTTTTGCGCGCAGCCGAGGTGTGGCGGCTGCCCATCCTCCACCCGTGCGTGGTCCTGGGCTCCCGGGAGCCGGGGGGGGGAGGAAAGATGGGGAGCTCCATGCGGAGAAGCGTTTAGGAGGCTCGTGGGTTAGAGACGGACGGGTCCCGCTCCCATGCAGAATCGACGCGCTCGTCGCCGAATCAGGCGGGACGGGCTTCATGTTTCGGTTTGTACTTTCCCAGGTGCGCCCGAGTTGTCAACGGTCAGCGTTGTGCCGCGAGGCGTGGCGGAGGAAGGCAGGCTCGGATAGCGCAGCGGCGCGGCAGTGCGAGGAGCGCGTGCTCGGGCAAGGTCAGGCGTCCCAGCTCGATCCAGTGCTCGCCATGCGTGAAGCAGGCGGGTCCTCCAGGAAAGGGGTCCTGGAGTGTGTTCGCCGCTTTCTTCAGGACCTCGCCGCTTTCTTCAGGACCGGCGATCGGGTGGTAATGGGGGTGACGTGAAAGGGAGTGAAGAAATGGGTCCTTTCTGGGGCCCTTTCTGGTGCTTCTTGGAGTTAGTAAGAACTTAACAATAGCGCCACGTCCATACCTGCATACAGTCGGGGCCCTGAAGAAGGAACCCTTTTCGTTGGGGAGGGGCTCCGCGTTCCTTTAGTGTTTCACAGCTTGCCTCAGGCTTTCCTTGTGTATTCGACCGGAAATCGAAGGTTAACTTATGGAAAAGAGGGGCCTCGCTCCTTATTTAGGGTTCCTTAGGTCAACGCCCCGACTGTATCCTTCTTCACGAACTCAAAACAGACGCCCAATCCCAAAATCGCGGGGGCCAAGACAAAACGCAGACACCCCAAGACTTCGGGGAGGGAGATTTTGGGGTAGGGTTTTACCAGGGTGGCGACGACGAACGCAAAACATACCCCGAACTCTTTGGCCGCTCTTCGAATCCTCGGCGAATCCGCGATTTTGGGATTGGGGATGTGTTTTTTCGTGGTCACTTCTGCGGCCCAGGCTCCACCCTGGAGGCCGCCCACGTGGCCGACCTCTCCGACCGCTCGGTGCAGCCGCAGCACGCCGCGCTCCTGCTACGGCCGGACCTCCGCTCCTTCGCGGTGCAGCCCCTCGGCGGCCCGGTGCCTTTCTGGGGGGCGGGACGCAGACTGCACAATTCTAGGCCTCCTAGATGGGGTCGGAGTAGATGGGGTCGGAGGATCGCGCAGCATCGCCGATGCATCGACGATACGGCTCGATGTGCAGGCCGATTTGCTTCACGTCGACGTCGCCGATGCATCGCCGACGTTGACGATGCATCGCCAGTGCATCGCCGATACATCGCCGATGCATCGCCGATACATCGACGATGCGGCGCGATCCTCCGACCCCATCTACTTCGACCCCATCTAGGAGGCCTCTAACAATGACGCCCCCCGTCAACCCAAACTCGGGGGTCGGGAGTGGAAAAGAGGGGGGTGATGACTAGGGGGGGGAGGGGAATTTCAGGGCGCGGGCGATGGTTTTTCCTCTGATTTCATGGCGCCTCTTCTTATTTCATTGCCTCCCAGGCCCCCCCGCTGGGCCGCGCACATGCCGCCGGTCATGATTTGCACCCCCCCCTCTTGGACCCCCCCCGCCAACCCAGACTCGGGGGGGGCTTCCTCCGCTCGTGCGCGTGGCAGCCCCTCGGCGGCCCCGTGTCTTCTGCGGGGCGCGGCGCCGGCTCCACACCGACCCCCCACCGGCCCCCAAGCCCCGGGGCCATCATGAGTGGATCTGGGACCTGGCGGGTCGAAAGCCGCTGGGAGTCGCGCCTGTCTCCGCTTCGTGAGAAAACCATGGCGGCAGATTCGTTTCTTGCCCCCAGGAACGGGTCGAGAGGTCGGGGGTCCAATCTCGAGTTCGACGTTCGAATGCGAGGATCAAGGTTCTTGATCGCCTGGGGCAATTGCTCGGCCTCCTGGGCCGTCCCCGTAGCTACGGCTGGATCCGTCTCGACATTCTGGCCTGGACGCACAGCTGCACCCAGACAGCAAGCAGAAGGAGTTTGACAATCTGGCCATGCGCAAAAAGATTCAGAAGGAGGAGAGGAGGAGTCGAGAGCTGCAGCCTGCCCTGGGCTGCAGGCCTCGACCGCATACGTAAAATGCACCAGCGAAGCGCCGATCACCTCCCTAAGTGGATATTCATTGTGCTGCTTCTCGAGCGCCGAGCGCAAATTACAATCACATGCTGGGACGCCTATGACATGCATTTTGGAGGGAGTGTCCAGGTTGTCCCAGGGGAGTGTTTGGGAATTTGTTTGGGTACGATTTTTCCAGTGAACATCGTAATATACATCGGAGTGAAAACATTTTCCGTCGGATGTCTAGGTATAGCCTACGTAATACACACCATGCCCGAGCCTGGCCAGGCCAGCCTCTGGGCCCTGGAGCGGCCAATTGACTCCCCGTTGTTGCCACGCAAGGATGGCGCACGCACTCAGCGCCTGGTGCCCAGGAGACTCGGCGATTCTTGTTGATGGTCCCGGGGTCCCGCAAGGCTTTCTGGATGCCGAAAACTCAGACACGCGCAGTGGGGGGTTCGAGGTTTTCGAGTTTTCGAGGTTTTCGAAGTTTTCGCAGCCATGCGGCTCGAGGTTTCTAAGTTTTCGGGCGCTTTCGTCGGTTCTCGGCGGCTGTCCAGCCTCGGGATGCTCTCCAGCGGCTGCGCCTCGCCGAGGGCGTTCTGGGGGTGCCTGGATCGTCCCGAACGGCCGCTGGATTCCCGAGCTATGACCCGAAAACAATCAGCCACGCGCAGATGGAGGTAGGGGTAGAGGGGAAGGCTTCTTAGAACCACCCATGCTTCCTAGAAGGCGTGGGCCTTCTCTGTTCATGTAAGGCTGGCGCCTTCTAAGAAGCAGCCTCATTCTTAGAAGCCTTCCCCACTCCCCCTACCCCCCTCTGCGCGCCGCCAACTGGTGCCCAGGAGACTCAGAGATTTTGATGGTCCCAGGGTCCTGTAAGGGTTTCTGGATAACGATCATGGCGGACCCCTTCCGCAGGTGTCGCCGCGCCGTTTGTTCCGACGCGCAGCCTTCCGCCTGGGGAGGGCGCCGCTACCACCAGGGCAAGCGCAGCCTCGGATGCGGCGGGTTCGCGTGGGTTGGCCTTGGTGCAGGCGTGGTCTGCCTGTGTCGCGGGACGCGGGGTTTTGCCGTGGCTTTGCCGTGGTGTCAGCGTCGTTCATTTGGGCGCGTCGAGGACAAACGGCGCGGCGACACGTATTGTTTTGTCCCATACAGGTCTGGGGGCATCGGTGCGTCATGGGCCACAACACTGGTGCGTCGGTGCGTCCCTGGGTCTTGCGTCGGTGCGCCCTTCTGGCAACCGTTCGGGTCGATTCGGGCACCCCTCCGAAGCCCAATCGTCGAACCGCTCCACGACTGGGGGTCTGGCCAAGATCGGTGCAAGTGTAAAGCTGGCGCCACCCGGAAGGTGCTGCTCTTCCCGCCCTCCGCGCACCCTGGCGTCGCCCGGGCTCTCCAGAAGGAGCGGTGGGCCCCCTCGCCGCAGATGGGCGACGCAGAGAACAGGGTCGAGTGCGCCGACATCGGCGCGTAAGCTGCCCGCCCGAGGTCGCGCGTAAGCGCCCCTGTCTCCGCTGGGGCGTGCCGCGGCGGCGGCCCGCGCAGGCTGCCGCGTAAGGTCGCCCTGCCATCTCGCGCCGACCCGTTTTTTGTTCGTCGCCCAGATGTTCGTTCCGGTGTGTATCCATGCTGTGCGACGGCGGTTCGGAGGTGCTGGGCGGGGCCGGTCCCGCAGCAGTACCCCGGGCATCGGGCGCCAGGCCTGCTCGTTGGCGTCGGAGCGGGCGGTTTCACCGGTGCACGGCTGGGGCCTCAGGCCACAGCTGGGTGGTTTCACTGGCGTAGTCGGCGTGGGCTGTGTTATTTGGGGCATGCGGGGAAGCACATACGTCGGCGTCGTCATTGAGATTACTCGATAGTCATCTCCAAGGTCGTTGCTGGCAACAGAAGCTTGTTGTTGACAGGTCACCACAATATCTTGTTACATTACGGCGTTCAAAATTTGCGCGGAAGTCTTTGCCTCTTCCTCGCATTGCGGTCGATTCCTCTCCTTTTCCAGCCTTGCAGGCGCAATTCGCTACCGTGCAGCCTTCTGTAGTTTCGACGTCGAAGAGCCTCTCAAGTCGCTGCGGGCCAGCAAGAAATCTCGCTTAAGCCGACATCGATCGAAGACGATCGACCATGACGCCGACACTGACACCACCCATGCCACCGCCGACGGCGACCACAGCGACGACGCCGTCGTTCCCCCCGGGTCTTGCGTTCCTGCTCCCCTCTGCCCCCGCGCCCTCCTCGGCGTCGTCGTCGTCCTCGTCGCCCTCGTCGTCGTCGCAACCTGTTGGGTGAATTCTCAGACCCCGACGTCGTGCTTTCTTCACAACGTCGACCCCCAGAGGTCCGGACCCCTTCCCCGGGAACTGCTTTTCATCCCGAGCCGTGCTTTGATGGCCCCGAGGCCGGGCAAGGGCGCCCCCCCCCCCCCGGAGGCCGAAAGCACAGGAGAACCTCCCGTCGTGAGTCTTTCCCCACGCGAGGGGGCCTATACTATAGGATGCGCGCCACGTTCATGTCCCGCCCGTGGGCCTGGGTTGCGCGCTGCTTTCCTGACCCGCACCCCTCAGCCCCCCGTCCGAGGAGGGGCGCAGCGCGCCGCCAGAGACCAGCGGCGGCGCGCCCGCGGAGGCAGATGCCGGCGCGTCGCCGGAGGCCCCGCCCCTCGAGTCTCGCAGGGCTCCCGATCCAGGTTCCACTTCGAGCCCCAACCCCCCTCGCGTCGTGCAAATTTCGCGACGAAAGGTTTTTAGCTGCTTGGCCTCTGGGCGTCCTCGGCGAGCTTGAAGTCGGGCCTGTCCCTGCACAGGAAGAGTATTCAAACATAGTTTCAAAAAAAGTCTGGTGACGATTGTTCAATTATTTTTTGACCACTGGGAGTCGTTGTTGACTGTTCTTAACCTTCCCTCGAACATCGTCCTGCAGGGGGACAGGCCCGACCTCAGACGAGCCCCCGGGGCCGCGGGGCCGGCAAGAAGCTGCCGCGGGACGGTATCGAGCAGACGCAAGAGTGACCTTTGGCGCGGGCACGGATGGGCCCCCGGATGGCCGAACGCGAAGCGGTGGCAGCGGCCAGCGCGCCTGGATTTGGCCCCCCCGCGGCCCCCCCACAGCCGCGCACCAAAGGTCACTCTTACGTACCCAGGGCCACTCTTACGTGTAGCCAGCGGAAAGACATGGAACCCAGTCCCCGGGGGGACGGTTCCAGAGGCCTCTTCTGCGCGGGCCGGCGCTGCGAGCCCCCCCCAAAAAAAGCCCGGCGTCGGGGATCCGGCTCTCGAGTCTCTCGCGGGCTCGGGGGGGCAGCGTCGGGAGGAAGGCGCCCGCCCTCCTTTCGGGGGCGGCAGGGAGGGGGGTGATGATTTTTTGGGGGATATCACGGCGGAGGCCATGATGTCTCCCGAGATTTCGTAGCGGCTCTTCTTGTTTCAATGCGTCCCTGGCCAGCCCCTCCGGGCCTCGCACATGCCGCCGTCCATGATTTGCGCCCCCCCTCTTGGACGCCCCCCTCTTGGCCGCCCCCGATCAGTCCAGGGTCCATTTAGACACGATCGATCCGATTCGATGCCAATGCTGGCTGGCCCAGTTCGATTCCGACCTTCCGACGAGCGGCCCGATGCTGGTATGGCGCTGCTGTGCATCCTGGCGCAACCGATCCGTTGCGATTTCGATGCCGTGCCGATGCGGCCCGATCCGAAGCACACTCCGATTCGATACGCTTTCCCGATCCGATGCTGCCTGATCCTCCAATCGCCCATACATTGCCGACGGGAGCGGTTTCGCAGGTGCGGTTTTTTAACCATCTGCTATCGGGGGCCCATCGCCGACGTGTCGGCGATGTATCGCCGATTCCAGGTCGATGTTCCCCCCCCCGAGCTGGTCCCCCACGGTCGTCCGCTTCCGTTGGTTTCTGCGGGCTCTCTCGCCTCGGCTGTGCAGCTCCAGCAGCTGCGGCGCGCCGAGGGTGCGCGCCTCGTCCCGAAGGGCCGTCAGGGGTCCGAGGTACGGTCCAGAGGCCACCGTTCCTCCCAGACCTCAAATCGCATTGTGGCCGTCTGCTCTCGCAGCCTTGTAAGAACGGTTTTTTGAAGGCAGATCTGCCTTCAAAAAACCGTTCTTACAGAGTATTATTTGAAGGCAGATCTGCCTTCAACAAAACCGTTCTTACAGAACGGTCCAGAGGCCACCGTTCCTCCCAGACCTCCAATCGCATGGTGGCCGTCTGCTCTCGCGGCCCTGCTGCCTCCAGGAGGCCCCTCGCTGGGGCCACGGGCCGTCCAACCGGCGGGCCACGAGGCGAGAGGCTGGCCGCGGGGAAGGGGCCCAGGCCTCCGGGGACCCCGCGCGGAAGGCCCGCACGGCGGGTGCTTGTCCGGGCCCGTGGTCCGCGCCGTCCTCGTCGTCGCTCCGCTGCAGCGGGCCGGTCGTCAGAGGATGCCGAAAGGCCCGAAGCAAAAAGAACTATTCCACATCGAGACGGGAGGCGTGAATCGGCCGCACCGAGAAATCTTCCAGCATATGCGTCGTGGTGGGCGCCTTCTGGCCACACCGCTCGGGGAACGATCTATTACAATATAAGTATACTATATGTTCGGGTCGGAAGCGCGCCTCCAAGGAGGACATATAGTATTAGTATGTCTCTGTGCGGCCCATTGAAACTACTCCACGACATCCGACCCCCCGCCTTTGCCAGCTCCGCTCCGCGTGGTGCGGAAGCTCTGATGCGCCCTGCACGGTCCGTCGCCCTCCCTTCCCCATGGTGCTCCTCGTCTCCCTGCTCTCCCTCCTCTTCTTAGTCCTTGCCCTCGTCGTCATGTTCCTCCTCCTCTTTCTCCTCCTCTTTCTCCTCCTCTTTCTCCTCCTCTTTCTCCTCCTCTTTCTCCTCCTCTTTCTCCTCCTCCTCGTCCACCTGCTCATCTCCCTCATCCTTGCCCGAGGGAGCAAGTTTTGGGACTCTTGCGGTGTCGTGGGGGTGGAACTCCCTCGGCAGCAGGCTCGAGGAGCTGCCTTGACGCATCCTTCGGCCCCTCTTGGCGAGGAGTCGACCAGTCGACCGAGGGCTTGACTCGGGCAGCCATGAGTGAACACCGCAGTAGCACCCTTACAGTAGGAGTCTTGAAGAAGGAACCCTTTTTGTTGGGGAGGGGCTCGATGTTCCTTAATTGTTTCACAGCTTGCCTCAGGTTTTCCTTATGTATTCGATAGGAAATCGAAGTTTAACTTATGGAATAAAGGGGCCTCGTTCCTTATTTAGGGTTCCTTAGGTCAACGCCCCGACTGTAGCACCCTTAGGCGTGCTCAGCCGCCCAACACAAGCTGCTTACGCCTATGGTTTTGTTGCAGCGGCACGGGGGAACGAGGCGGTGCAGGGGGCGGGAAAGGGGGCCCTGCCGCGGAGACGCCGTGTTGGCTGGCCTTCGCGCGCGCCTCCCGTCCAGTGGTGGTCAAATTCTCCTCCTCCTCCTCCTCCTCCTCCTCCTCCTCCTCCTGGGCGGCGGGCGATGGCGTGCTGCGGAGGGGGCGGCTGTAGAGGCTGAGGCGAGGAGGTGGGGCAGAGGAGGGGAGGGAGGACGAGGAGAAGAAGTAGGCCTTCACGCTTCGCGCATCCCCCGCCGGCCGTTTCCCTTCGCTTCCTGTTCTGTCTCGTCCCGTTTCGCCCCCTCCGCCTCGTGCTGTCTTCGTTCCACTTGCGCTGTCCGCGTAGTGGCCTGTTCATTTTGCCGCTGATCGATCCTGTTGACAGTGCGCGGCCTTTTCCGCATCACTCGCAATCAACAAAAGATCCCCGCCGGCCCATCCAGAGTTTTTGCCCATGAAAGCTGACCGGAACAGGGACGAAGAAGCACATGTAGTAACGCAAAGCGGGCAACCAGGGGGAACAGAAAGATCTCTCGGAGCAAGGCGGTTGCCTTGGAGGGCCTCTTCGGGCCCGCATGGGGGCGGTGGAAGGCGGAGGAGGAGGAGGAGGAGGAGGAGGAGTAGGAGGAGGAGGAGGAGGAAGAAGACGATAACCACGACGACCACGACGAGGAAAAGGAGGAAGAACAGAAAAAGGAAGGCAACGAGGGCAAGGACGAGAACGAGGACGAGAATGAGGAGGAGGACATCGATGACGAGGACAAAGCCCACGAAATTGCCTCTTGTAGCGTTATTTGGGATATTTTGGGGGATCTCGGGGTCATCTTGGTGTTATTCTGGCTTGTCTTAGTGCTCTGCTGGTTGGGGCCCTCTTGGGGGCCCTTTGGGAGCCCTGCAGGGCCTCTTGGGGCCATCGTAGAGGCCATCGACCAAAAGGGGGGGGGGGGGGCATGTGCTTCCCCCTGGGGCCATCAACATGCCCCCATTAGGACCCTCTTGGGCCTCTCTTGGGCCGTTCTTGGGCGCTCTTGGGGCCGTCTGGGGGTCCTCTTGGACCCCATCTTGGGCCTCTCGTGACCCATCTTGAGGCCATCTTGGGGCCCCCAAAGCGCATCGGAATCGAAACGGCGAGAAAGCAAAGATCACATGTTCCCATTTGCGTTTGGAAGATTCTGGCCTCTTGGGGGGGCAGGTCTGAGGGATACCCGGGAGCACTCGGGACTGTGTGGCTTTCGCCAAGCCTCGTTGAGGTTTGCAGGAAGCTGTCCCGGACCATCGTCGGCATTTCGCGGCCCGCCCAGAAACAACTCAAGGAGAGGGGCGGGGGAGGTACGCCTCCTGGTAATGAAGAGGTGCTCGGAAGAGGACAGGACGAACTCGCTGGAGCACCGTAGCCCTGAGCGCTGGTGGTGTACACAGGTAAGGGGCAGGAGGGTGGGGAGGAGAGGGGGGGAAGTGCAGGTACGGGGAGGACAAGAGGAGGGGGCGCAGGATGGGCCAGCCCTGGGCGAGAAATGCGAGGGCGAAGGCTCGGTCGAGGAGCAGGCCACGTGGAGAAGGAGGAGGAAGTGGGGCAAGCGGGGGATGGCGAGAAGGACGAGGGCTGGGCACGGGCACGGGCGAGGGCGAGGAGAAGGACGAGGGCGAGGAGGAGGACGAGGGCGAGGCGGACGAGGGCGAGGAGGACGAGGGCGAAGAGAAGGAGGAGGTGGGGCCAGAGAGGGTGCCCTGGTCGACCGACGCCCACGCGATCGAGCCACGGGAACACGGGCCCAACTGAGTGCTGTGGGGGGGAGGGGGGGGGGGGGCGAGGGCCAAATCCTGCAACGACGCCGGGCAGGCCCACTTCACCAGCCGAGAGGAGCCCTGTGGCAAGAGAATGGGGACGACGACGACAACGACACGACCGAGGGCGCGGGGAGGGGGGAGGGGAGGGGGAAGCGGGAGAGGGGAACGCGCGCCGGGCGCGCGCCCGGGCCCTCAGGGAGCCCAGTGCCCGCGGGGGGGCGGCCGCGCGACGCGCCCCGCCGCGGCCGCAGCGCCGGCGCCCCCCGCAGAGCGGCAGGCAGAGCTGCTCCAGCGGCGCCGGCGAGTCAGCCCAGCCTAGGCCTGCGCGTAGGCTGGCGCGGCGAGAGCGGCCGCTCGTGCCGCGACGCGGCGCAGCGCCGCGTCGCCGAGCTCCGCGAGCCGCTGCTGGACCGCGCCCAGCTTGCCCCGCGTGGAAGCGCCGAGCGGGCGGGCAAAGGCCCACGCCGCCGTCCAGCGGCCATTGGCGAGCCACTGGAGGGCCAACTCCCGCATTTCCGCTGCGTCCGCCCGCGCCGCGTCCCGGGCCGCCTCCCCCCGCGGGGAAGCGCTCGCGGGTGATCGGCGCCCCGCTGCCGCCGTCGCGCGAGGGCGCCCGGCCCCGTGCCGCCGCCGTCGGCGCCGGCCGCCGCCGCCCGGCGGCCGCCCGCGGCGCCAGCTGCCTGGAGCCACGCCTCACGCTGCCCGCCGCCCCCGGGCTCCTGCTGCGCCGGCCCTCCGTCCAGCCCGACAACACAGGGTAGGCCCTCCGTCCTGCGCCATGCAGGCAGGCCCACAGCAGAGGGTTCCCAACTTTGCCCTGGTGGTGCCAGCAGGCCGGAGGTCGCCAACATTGGCACGGGCGCCCGCGGGACCTCATGGACGGACCTCCCACTCCTGCCTGGTCGCAACCGCCTGGTGTAATAATTACAAGGGGGGCAAGGTACAACAGCCGACTTTTGTAGGTCGACCAGTGGTCGGAGGCGGGGCAAGCGAATCGACAGGTAGAGCAGGTACTTGTTTGCCCCACACTGCTCCCAGAGGTGCAACACGCACCTGTTTACCCCTCTGTGCGAATGGCAGCTTCCAGAGGTCGAGCAAGCACCTGTATACCTCAGTCCCCTGCGCAAAACACGCACACGAAGCGCCTGGGGTAAACAGGTATGTACATCCTATAATTATACCTGTTTGCCCCCAGCTGGTCCCTCAAGGGAATTGTGCTTCTCCAGGTGCAAACTTTAATGTTTGTTACCTGGGAGCCCCACCCTACCTGCTTACTCCAGCTGGGCATGCTAGCTAAGTATCCCAGGGCACGCCCTCCCTGTTTGCCTGGCTGGTGTACCACAGGCGCTGTACAATCCGCCAGGGACGGCGGCCTGGGTAAACTGGTGATGCCCGCCCCCTGCCTTCAAGCATCAGTGATTGTCGCTGGGGGGGGCAGAAAGGAAAGGGGGGGCGAGGAGGCGGAGAGGACGAGGCTTGGGAGGAGGAGGCAGGAACCGAGAACTGGATGAGGAGGAGGAGGATCCAGGGCGGGAGAAGGGCCAGGATGCCACCGATCCCCATGGGGGTACTGCGACGCGCGTTGGGCCGCGCACGTCGCGTGCCATTTGGGCTCCGTTTGCGCACGTCGCTGGCACTTACTCGTCCACTGTCCCCACCCGCTCCTTCTTTCTTCCTGCCTTTCCCGCCGTTATCTCCCGCCTCCTTTTCCTCTTCCTTCCCTCCCCCCGTTGCCGTGTTGGTTCGCCCCCACTGCGGCCCGTGGCCGATGTCCAGGTTCTTCGGGTTGCGGCGCGAAGTGAGGCAATCCGATCCGCATCATGCAGGTTAGACGCCGTGCTCGAAACGGGCCGTTATACATAAACCTCGCTCGGGCGGCCGGTTTCGAGTGCCATTCAGTGTACTTGTTTGGCTGTCATGGCGGGTTGCGCTTAGGGTGCGTGGCGTGGCGGCGCCACGCTACCGGATCGTGTCCGACAGCGACCGGGGCGTACTGATTGTTCCCAGCGCCCTGCGAGCACAAGTCGTTTGGCGGGTGGTCAGCGCCGGCCAAGCAAACAGGCTGCGTTGCCCGACGAATCTGGATGTTTGACCGCCATCAGAAGGCTGCGGTCGTTGCCCCAGCTTTTGCTTCCAACCAATGTTAGTTCAATCGTGGGCTGCTTGGCCCTAGTCTTGTGTAGGCCCGCTTCCAAGAACCTCCTGTTCGTGCACTCCCCGCGTCTACCGCCCATCCTTGTCCTCCTGCTCATCATACCCCTCTCTTGCGTACGCGCGTCCTCAGCTCTTTTCTCTCTCTCTCTCTCTCTGGCTCGTCTTTCTCAATATATTTGTACGTGCAATATATACACGGTCTGTCTAAATGTGCGCAGGCATCTATTACTCCCGCTCGTTTTGCGCACCTCTCTCAGTAACTCCTTGTGTTTGTTATTTTGTTCTCTCTCTCTCTCTCACTCTCTCTCTCTCTCTTTCACTCTTTCAGTGCCTCCTGTCTCTCCTCCTCCTCCTTTCCTCCTCTTTCCCCTTCTCCTTCTCCTTCTCCTCCCCCCTCTCCATTTCTTCGTCCGCGCGGCAGGCGCTGACCCCCAACCGCTGCTGCTTCCGTCTGGCCGGCTCGAGATTGGCGCTGTTCCTGGACCTCCTGGACGCGGCGGCCGGGGAGGCTCCGCGGCGCACCGCGGGCCCGAGAAGTTTCGAGACCAGGGCCCGCCGGAGGTTTGCCACGGGTTGGCGCTGTGGCTCTTGAGAGGTTCTCGCAGCGGGCTGCTTTCGAGCACGTGCGCCTCGCCGAGAGCGTTCTGGGCGTGCCCGAGCCGCCCCGAACGGCTGCCGGGGCGCGAGTAGTGGCCCGAGCACTGCGCCGGGTGGAGAATCCAGCCCTCCATCGTCGTGAAGAGAAGCAGAAGCGAACTGTCTTGGCTGGGTCGAGGTTTGGGGGGCATTTCACCGGTGTCGGGGGGCCACCAGGATCGTTACGATGCGAAGGTTGGCTTCAGGGAAGGGGTCGAGACCTCTGGGGGTCCGCGTTGCGGAAGAATCGAGACCTCGGGGTCTGGGAGCCCAGAGCTCCGTTGCAGGAGGGAGAAGGAGGACGAGGAGTAAGAGGATGAGGGAGAATCGAAGGTCGAGGTATGATCAAGGCTTTTGGCAGTTTGTCTGTGTGCCTTGTTGGACCTCATGTGGCGCCCTCGTCGAAACGGCTGGACTCCTTTCGAGATCCTGGTTGGAACGCTCTCCAGGAAGGGGAGGAGGAGGTTCCTTTCGTTTTCGTTTGTGTGGGTTCCCCGTTCTCTTCTGAGGGTGGGAGGACCCAACCCTCCAGCGGATGCATACTTTCAATCAGAGGGTCTTTCATGTCGGCCTCGAAGGGGCCGTGTCGGGCCCTGGGAATATCTGCAAGGTGGATCTGCGACGAGGAGGCCCCCCCCCCAGGGGGAAGGCGCTCGGCGCCTCGTGCCGGAGGCCCGAGGGCGTCGGACAGAGCAGCCAGAATTTTGGGAAACTCTGTTCCTTACTTCCTTTGGATAATTTATCACACATTTATAGATGCTGTATTACATTATGTGTCCATGGGAAATCGCATCTATTACATTCGTTTACATTTTTTTTATTAAAAAATGTAAGGATGATTTCCTATGGTGGTAGTATATTTGTTTTAAGTAAAATATTAGAGAATAATGGTAGGGTCATCGGCGCCCCAGATTTCAAAGCTACAATCGACCATCTGATTGATCAACCTCCTGCTGAAAGCTGGGCCAGTTCCTGAACCGACCTGCAGGAGAGCGGGCACAGTTTCTGGAGCGCGTTCGCCACTCCAGCGTGAACACGAAAACTTGGCCCAGGCTTGCGTCAAGCAGTTTCCGGGGAGCTGGCCCAGATGTGTAAGATTTTTGTTTTCCTGATCCTATGCTCGGCTGTATCCTGTAGAAGCAGGCGCGGAAGTTCGTAGCCGTGCTCGGCTCCTGGGGGCGCTCGGCAGGCCCGGGGGCCGGCAATGAGGCGACTCGGGATGAGAATCCAGGGGCGGGACTGCTGGGGACACCGAGTGGAAGACATCGAGACATTTTGCGTCTCTGGGCACGTGTGGCCCTATAGGCAAGAGAGACCTCTGTTGTGCGGCCTGCCGATCGCTGCCTGCGGTGCGGCCGTCGAGGCCCGCGTGCTCAGGGGTCGGCTCCCCGAGAACGCCGCGCACCGAGGGCCACCTCTGGCGCAGGGCCGCTCGTGACGTGTCGCCGACGGCTCGACGGGGCGGCGGGGCTCCTCAATCCTCTGAGAGGCAGGCCGAGCGTCGCGGGAGATGCAGGGAGCGAGGACCGAAGTCTCCGCGGGCAGCTAGCCGCCCCGCGCCGCCGAGATCACCGCGGGCGCCCCTCGATAGGAGGAGGAGGAGGAGGAGGAGGAGGAGGAGGAGGAGGAGGAGGAGGAGGAAAAGGAGGAGGGAGGAGGAAAAAGGAGGAGGAGGAGGAGCGCAGGAGGGTCGCAGAAGCGTCGGGAGGCCTTTGGCCCTCCCTGCGTGCAGCTGCCCCGCGCGCCCGCGGCCTCCCCCCCCCTCGTGAGGCGCCGCCCCGTGCGGCGGCCGCCCCGCGCGCCCGCCCGCGCGGCGGGCGCTCGCGGTCCCCCGCCGCGTGCCGGAGGCCGCCGCCCGCACCCGGCCGCGCCGGCGGCGCGCCGCCGCCGCGGGCGCCCGCCGCGCCGCTGTGGGCCGAGCCGGTGCCCTTCGCCCCCGAGTGCCACTAGGCCGGGGGGCGGGAGCCAGGGCCTCCTCGTGGCCCCTATGTATTCCCTCCTCCTCCTCCTCCTCCTGCTCCTCCACCTCGTCCTCGTCCTCCTGCTCCTCCTGCTCCTCCTCCTCCTCCTCCTCCTCCTCCTCGTCCTTCTCGTCCTCCTCCTCCTCCTCCTCCTCCTCGTCCTCGTCCTCGTCCTCGTCCTCCTCCTCGTCCTCCTCAGATGCCGATGCCGCTCGTCGCTGGTCGGGGCTCCGGAGACGGGGGTCCGCCAGAGCGCCAGATCCTGCAGGATATCCTGCAGGGGTGGGTTTTTTGCGTGCAGGATCCTGCAGGATCTTTCAGTATCCGGCAAGGCCCGACTGACTCAGGTTTGCATCCGCCAGGGTCAGTAGATTCTAGATGCCCGAGTGGGTGTATTCCCGATCTCAACTATTATCTGTTGTCGACGCGTTCCGGGCTCTGTGTCCTCTCCGACTGGCCAGAAGCGGTTGCGGATCTCCAGCGTGCAGGCCGGGCGGCGCGCGGGCAAGGCAGCTTTGGGTCAGAGGGGGGGGAACCAGATGCCGATGCCGCTGGTCGGCCCTCGTCGCCAGAGCTGAATCCGCCCCGAAATCCTCGTCAGGCCGCTGTGGGCCGAGCCAGTGCCCTTGGCTCCCGACTGCCACTGGGCCAGAGCGGGGACCAGATGCTGACTCCGCTGGTCGGCCTGTCGCCGTGCCTGGATCCGCCCCAGAATCCTCGTCAGGCCATTGTGGGCTGAGCTAGTGCCCTTCGCCCCCGTCTGCCACTTGGCCAGAGCGGGGGATTCAGATGCCGCTGCTGGTGCTCATCCGTGGAGAGCCCTCGTCGCCGCGGCTGGATCCGCTGCGAATTGTTTGCCACAACGCACCATGGGAGAGGTCCAGGGAGCAGCGGCACTGGCGCCCCATCTTGTCCCCCTTCTCTCCTATAGGGCGCTGCTTCGCGGCCGCGGTGCAAGCCCAGGCGCCCGAAGAAGGTTGGGACTTCAGCGGCCCGGGTGCCTTTTCCTCTCTGTGTTCGGCTTCCGGCTGAGGTTCAGCGTGCCCTGGGGCCATCACGAATGGATCCCCAGCGAAACCTTGCCCCTGGGGAGCTGGTCGAGACCTCCTTGGGGCCGCGAACTGAAAAATGCACGTCGTCGGATGCCTGGGCAGGGGCAGCCGCGATCGGTACGATCGAAATGGGTTCCGCACAAGTGGGGGCAGAGACGGACGACCCCCCCTGTCCATTTTGAACGCCGCGGACTCTGTCCATCTGTTACGCCGTCGGTGTTGGACAACACATGCCGTTTGGCACTTGGGGGATGATCGTGTCCACCGTGGCACGGGCGCCTGGTTTGTAGAATTCCCTAAGAAACCGTTCAACACTTGCTGGCCTTCATGCAGCTGCGAAGCCATGGGGGAGATTCTCGCCAGAGCCTCTGCCCCCTCGCTCCGCAGCCTCTTTTGGGGTTCGGCCTGAGTCCGCCAAGGACGACGACGCTACTGACTTGCACCTAGCCTTTAAGAAACGCCCTAGTCCAAAAGCCCGCCCGAGTCCAAAAGCCCACCCATCGGGGCCCACTTCTGGGGAAACCACGAAGCGCCGACATCGCCACTCCCCGAGCCCATCCCGTGGTGCGTTCTGCTCAGACTTCCGAGGCGACAGCGGTGGCGACGAGGGCTTCCCCCGGAGGCCCGACAGAGAGGGAGACGGGCGAAGGGTGGCGGTACGGGGGAGGAGGGGGAGGAGGAGGGGGAGGAGGAGGAGGAGGAGGAGGAGGAGGAGGAAGGAGGAGGAGGAGGAGGAGGAGGGAGGAGGAGAGGAGGAGAGGAGGAGGGAGGAGGAGGAGGAGGAGGAGGAGGAGGAGGAGGAGGAGGAGGAGGAGGAGCAGAGGAGGAGGAGGAAGCCTGTTCCTCCTCTGCATGTCGGGCGGGCGCGGAGCAGGCAGAGCGGCGGAGGCGGAGGAGGCGGAGGAGGAGCGAAGAACGAAGAGCAACAAGGGATCGGGGCTTCCCTCCCTGCTTCTCCTCCTCCCTCCTCCCTCCCTCCCTCCCTCCCTCCCTCCCTCCCTCCTCCGTCCTCCTCCCTCCCTCCTGCCTCCCCTTCCTCCGCCTCTGCCCCACTCCTGATTCCTGGTGTCCCCGCCCTGCCTCCCGAGGTCCCTCTGTCCATGGCCCGAGAGGATCCTCGGCCGCAGGAGTCGGCCTACGACCTCGAGGCGGACGAGGAGGCCGCCCAAGAGTTGGGTGCGGACAGCCCCTCCCCTGGCTCGGCTACCTTAGTCGACTTCCCTCCTCCTCCTCCTCCTCCTCCTCCTCCGCTCGCTCAGCTCACGCCTGAGCAGCTTGAGCGCATTCGAAAGAATCGTGCCGAAGCCAGAGAGCGCAAGCGCAAACGCGTCGCGCCATGGCATTTCGACGCCATCCTGTGGCCCGATGGGTAATTCAGTCTTGTTTCTTTTTCGACCCCAGGGTGACATCGGCCCCAGAGAACCTTCAAGGCACATGACTTCACGAGAGTGACAGAGCACGACCCAGCGTCCCAGCCTGCGTCCGACCGACCTCCTCCTTCCCTCCCTCCTCCCTCCTCCCTCAGTGCAGTTCTGTTTGCAGCACCTGTGCGATGGCGCCGACACTGCCGGCATTTGCCCGGGTGGTGAGCGGGGTTCGAAGGTAAGCGCCACCTGCTGCGCGCGCTCCCCCGCCGCCAATGCGGCCACCCGGGGCCGAAACTGCCTTCACGGGCTCGGTGCTGCCTCTGACTTCACATCGCATGCAAGACGCCGACTCTCTGCAGTGCTTCACTCTGAGCCGTGACCCTTACTTCTTTCCGCTACTGCTGTCTGCTGTTCCGCCCGGCAGGGCGGAGGAGGAGGAGGAGGAGGAGGAGGAGGACAAGGAGGAGGACAAGGAGGAGGAGGACCAGGAGGAGGAGGAGGAGGAGGAGGAGGAGGAGGACGAGGAGGAGGACGAGGACGAGGACGAGGACGAGGACGAGGACGAGGAGGACGCGAGGGAGTAGGAGGAGTGCGTAGCGTCGGAGCGCGCGGAGCAGGCGGGGCGGCCGCCGCGGTCGCCCCCGGCCGTGCCGGCCGCGCGCGGCCGCGCGCGGCGGCGGGCAGCCACGCGCCCGGGCGGCGCGCAGCGCCCGAGCGCGCGCCCGCGCGGCAGCGCTGCGGGCCGAGCGTCGCCGCGGGCGCTGGGCAGAGGTGCGGGCCCTCGGGCCGCCGCGGGGCGGCGGGGCCCAGACGCCCTCGAGTGTTGGAAAGGTCACGCCGCGAGGATGTGTTTTTTTGTTCCCCCCCGTTTTTTGTTTTTTCATTTTTTCCCAGCCGTCCTGTGGTGTCGGGTCCTCGTTTTGAAGAGACGGTGCCCCGCGTTCTCCTCCGTCCTCCTTCCTCCTTCCTCCTCCTCCTCCTCCTCCTCTTCCTCCTCCTTGCCTCTGCTCTTCGCATGTCCATCCCAACTCGGCGCACCCCTCACAGGGTTCATGGCCCCAGAGGGAGAGCCACCGAAGGCCCCAGTGGCAGCGTTCGCATGCAGTTCCACCCTCATGTCGGCGCACCCCTCACAGGGTTCGTGGCCCCACAGGGAGCTCCACCGAAGACGGCACTCACAAGTGCGGCGCGGCACTCACACTTGCATAGGGATGGGTCCTTCGCCAGGCTCATCCTGTTTCCAGCCCCATGGGGGTCCTGACCGGGCTTCGGGACCGTCCAAAAAAACGACTCCGGACGAGACACCGGTCCCAGGGAAAGGGTCGGGACCACTGGGGGCCGACGTTGTGCAAAGTCAGGGCGTCGGGGGTCGGGCGCTCTTCGCCCCGTCTGCCGGGGCCCTCCCGGGTCGACGCGGCCCGAGGGGCAGCAGGAGTCGGGGGCTGCCGCAGGCGCCCCCCGGCCCCAGGTGCCCCCACGGGGCCCTGTGGAGGGTGCTCTGGATAACCAGCCTGGAACATATCCCGATCCCTATGTTTGACATCACCTCACCTCGATGCCGATCTGAAGGATTCCCTCCGTTTTTGAGGGCCTATCCCTAAGATTGTCCTCGCTTTTTGCTCGCCCATCTTAGGGATAGGGATACGTTCGAGGCTGGTTACTGGAGGCCGTGTGGGGCCTCCTTGGACCTCCTGGGGGGCACCTCGGGCCGGGGGCACTTCTAGCAACGACCGGAGGACAGGTAGAACGGCAGGTTCGCGTCGTGCCGACGCGGCGGCGGCCCCACAGCGCGGGCGTTCTCGGTCGGACGCTCCCAGCGGCCCGGGATCGGCGTGCGTCGAGTGGCCCGCGCGATCGGAGAGCAGCCGCGATCGTTCAAGGGTGAGGGATCCCGCCGTGGCGGGATCGCGATCCTGGCGTGGCGGGGTCTGGCTCGCGGTGCCAGAGACGCACGCAGTGCTCCTCGCGTCCCGAACCTGCCGTGGCGGGATGCAGTCGGGAGCTCCGGTCGTGCACGGCGCTGTGGTTTTCGCAGGGCCGGAGCTCGGGTGCCCCGAGTTCTGCGCCCGTTTTCGAGCCGCAGAGTTGCCCCGTTGTCAGGGCCTCGAGTGGGGAGGGCCCGCGCGGCCGCCCGCAGAGGCCGCAGGGAGAAGCTGGGGGCATCTTGGGCCGTGGGCGAGAAGCATGTCCGTGTCCGTCGGCCCCAGGCCGCCTCCGCCAGCAACGGGGCACGCTCCGCACGCCAGGACTTCCAACCGGCGCGACGCATGAGTCACGGGGTTCGGTTCAAGTCGGGCATGTCCGTCTACAGCGGGAATATTCAAGAATAGTGAAAAAGTAATCCGAGAACGATAATCGACTAGTTATGAATATGTTTGTGTGTTGATCGCAAAAACTATTATCCCGGCAAAGCAACCTAACAGCGATGTGTAGGAGCATATCTGGAAGCATTCCCCTTAAGATTCACATGAGAATCCAGTTGTAGAATTCTGCTGTTCTCGCAGTCGTAGTCGCATTCGCGATGACAGTCGCAGTGGCAACGGCAGTCGCAGTCACAGCCTCAGCCTCAGCCTGCCTCAGCCTCAGCCTCAGCCTGCCTCAGCCTCAGCCTGCCTCAGCCTCAGCCTCAGCCTGCTTCAGCCTCAGCCTCAGTCTGCCTTCAGCCTCGGCCTCAGCCTCAGCCTGCCTCAGCCTCAGCCTGCCTCAGCCTCAGCCTCAGCCTCAGCCTGCCTCAGCCTCAGCCTCAGCCTGCCTCAGCCTCAGCCTGCCTCAGCCTCAGCCTCCTGCTTCAGCCTCAGCCTCAGTCTGCCTTCAGCCTCGGCCTCAGCCTCAGCCTGCCTCAGCCTCAGCCTGCATCAGCCTCAGCCTCAGCCTCAGCCTGCCTCAGCATCAGCCTGCCTCAGCCTCAGCCTCAGCCTCAGCCTGCCTCAGCCTCAGCCTCAGCCTGCTTCAGCCTCAGCCTCAGTCTGCCTTCAGCCTCGGCCTCAGCCTCAGCCTGCCTCAGCCTCAGCCTGCATCAGCCTCAGCCTCAGCCTCAGCCTGCCTCAGCATCAGCCTCAGCCTCAGCCTCAGCCTGCCTCAGCCTCAGCCTCAGCCTGCTTCAGCCTCAGCCTCAGTCTGCCTTCAGCCTCGGCCTCAGCCTCAGCCTGCCTCAGCCTCAGCCTGCATCAGCCTCAGCCTCAGCCTCAGCCTGCCTCAGCATCAGCCTGCCTCAGCCTCAGCCTCAGCCTCAGCCTCAGCCTGCTTCAGCCTCAGCTCAGTCTGCCCTCAGCCTGCCTCAGCCAGTCAGCCTCAGCCTCCTCAGCCTCAGCCTCAGCCTGCCTCAGCCTCAAGCCTCAGCCTCAGCCTCAGCCTCTGCCTCAGCCTGCCTCAGCCTCAGCCTCAGCCTCAGCCTCAGCCTCAGCCTGCTTCAGCCTCAGCCTCAGTCTGCCTTCAGCCTCGCCTCAGCCTCAGCCTCAGCCTGCCTCAGCCTCAGCTGCATCAGCCTCAGCCTCAGCCTCAGCCTGCCTCAGCATCAGCCTGCCTCAGCCTCAGCCTGCCTCAGCCTCAGCCTGCTTCAGCCTCAGCCTCAGCCTTCAGCCTGCCTCAGCCTCAGCCTGCCTCAGCCTCAGCCTCAGCCTCAGCCTCAGCCTCAGCCTCAGCATCAGCCTGCCTCAGCCTCAGCCTCAGCCTCAGCCTCAGCCTCAGCCTCAGCCAGCCTCATCAGCCTGCCTCAGCCTCAGCCTCAGCCTCAGCCTCAGCCTCAGCCTCAGCCTCAGCCTCAGCCTCAGCCTCAGCCTCAGCCTGCCTCAGCCTCAGCCTCAGCCTTCAGCCTGAGCCTCAGTCTGCCTTCAGCCTCGGCCAGCCTCAGCCTGCCTCAGCCTCAGCCTCAGCCTCAGCATCAGCCTGCCTCAGCATTCAAAATGTGGCCCGGGAATGGAGTTCTGGGAACTCGAAGAAAACGAAGTGGCCTACAGATGTCTCCGGGCATTCAAAATCATGCCCAGGAATGGAGTTCTGGGAACTCCAAACCACGAAGTGGCTTACAGTTGGCTCCGGGCATTCAAAATGTGGCCCGGGAATGGAGTTCTGGGAACTCGAAGAGCACGAAGTGGCCTACAGTTGGCTCCGGGCATTCAACATGTGGCCCGGGAATGGAGTTCTGGGAACTCGAAGTGCACGAAGTGGCCTATAAGTTGGCTCCGGGCATTCAGAATGTGGCCCGGGAATGGAGTTCTGGGACCTCGAAGACCACGAAGTGTGTAACTGTTTGCTTAAAACGACTTCCGCGGATCCCTGTCAGGACGCCGCCCAGAGCCCCCTGGGGAGTCATGATGCTTTCTTTTGACCCTATTAGAAACCTAGCAGTCTTCGCTGTTAGGTAATTTAAGATTTGTCGTCCAAAATCCGTCTGTAGGGGGACATGCCCGACCTAAAGTTAGGTCACAACGCGGGCGGAACAAAAACATTCGCAGCCACGACCTTGCGAGCTGGGCCCCTAGGCCGCGACTCCGCTCGCAATTGGGGCAGGGGCCCCCTCTTCTGGCAGCGCCCCGCCGTCCACTTAGCTCTCCGCGCCGAGGAAGGAAGAAGGCGCACAAGCATAAGCTGTCGGAGGTCCGCGCGGATTTTTGGGATCTTCGCTGAACCCCCCTGCCAGCGCCTTTGGCGATGCCCTTACGGCGCCGAAGAACTCCGCGCGATCCTCCGAGTGCTCTATGCCTGTGCAGATGTTTCTTCTGCTGCCAGCGCCGCTCGAATTCATGCGGGACGTAACTAGGCAGGGCACAGCCGCCGGAAAAAAGGCGAGCCGCTGCGAGACCTGCCTGTGCGGGGGGCGGCCAGAGGTAGGGAGGGGGGAGATGGGGGAGTGGAAGCGAGCGGACGGGGGTGGGAGCTTCCTCCTCCTTCCTCCACCGCTGGGACCGCTATCGTGAAGTGTGCCGTAAACTTGACGCAGAAAAAAGGTCGGGAGTTTGAGACCGCTCCCGCGCTCTGTGCACCTGTCTCCGCGGGGTCGCCGCGACCGCCGTCGCTCCGATCGTCGCAGGGCCACCGACAGCTCGGAGCCGAGCCTTCTCCCTCGGCCGCACGGCGCAGAAGGGGCTGGTGCCGTCTCGGCTGCGGGGTGCAGCTTGGCAGGGGCACGGAGGGACAGGCAGCGTGTGGTCCCCAGGGCAGGGGGCGTGGGAGACCCTGCAGGGGAGGCAGCGCCGAGCGGAGGAGAAGGGCGGCGGCGGCGGCCGAGGTCCAGCACTAATGCGGGATGAGGATTAATTTAAAAAGATTGGGGAGAACGATTAAAAACATAGTTTCTGCGATTTCTGCACGATTTTCTGACTGGAGGAGACCGCTTGAAAAAATAGTTTTCCGGCCCGCGGCCGGTTTTTTCTAATCGTCATCCCGGGCGCCGCCGCGTGAACACGACTCCCGGTCATTTATTCATCGTCATCCTCCATTACGGTCGTCTGAGGCGATGAGGTGGATGGCCCAGGGGCTGGCGTTACCCTTGTCGGGGCCCGGCAAGGCAGCGTTGTTTCGGGCGCCAGCGCGGGGGGCAGCCGAACGAAGGAGAAAGGCGGCTCGATCCTTCGACCCCATCTTGGCCGATCCCCGGCCCATGTAGGCCGGCCCCATCTAGGCCTCTATTGGAGCACCTTGGGCCAGGAGCACTTCGAAAGACCCCCGACGCCGTTTTTTCACACACCGTCTCGTGATGTCTGCCCACTCCCCCAGACCGGCTATCCTGAATTATGGCCTGTGCGGTTCTTTTGGGAAGCTAGCAGAAGCCTTCCGTTGTGATTGCCGCTCACGGCGCGCGGGGATTTGGGTCTGGCAGCCTTCGGAATCGGCGGCGGCGGGGGCCGCGCGCGGATTGACGGCGGCAGGGTCGGCCACGGAAGTTGCCGGCGAAGCGCCATGGCCAGGCGACAGCCGGGGACGGGGCCAGCCGCGGAAGAGTTCTGGCTGGCAGCCGGCTTGCTGGTGGGTCCGTGCCTAGCCTGGCTCAAGATGCTTGCCTCGTGCCATGGCAGCCCGCAGCGCCAGAGAGTGCACGGCGCTCCTCTCCGCGCTCGGCGGCAGGCGGGCCTGGCCCGCAGCCGTGTCGATGCCGCGGGAGATGCAGGCGACCGGGCCAGTCCCGAACGCGATCCACTTCGACGCCGCCGTCAGCGCGTGCGGGCGAGGGGCGCAGCGGGCACGCGCCGCCCTCCTGCTGGAGGAGACTTCCCGCCGCGCCCTCGTGCCCGACGCCATCTCGTAGTTACAACGTCGCACCCAGACCCCCGACGTCGTGATTTTTTCACGACGTCGACCCCCAGAGGTCTGGACCCCTTCCCCAGGACCGGTTTTGCATCCTGACTCGTTTTTTGACGCTCCCGAGGCCCGGCAAGGGCCTCCAGAGGGCGAAAAGAGCGCAAAACCTCCCGTCGTGATTTTTTCACGACGCGAGGAGGTCTGGGCAGTGAGCGCATATGGAGGCGGTCGCAGGTGGGACTGGGCGCTGGGGCTTCTGGCCCGGCTCGGGGAGCGCGGGCCGCCGCTCCGCCTCGTCGCGCTCGGCGCCGCCGTCAGCGCCCGCCCGCGGGCGCAGCTGCGGGAGAGGGCCCTCTGTGTGCTGCGGGCTGCGGGCCCAATCGCGCTGCACGCCAGATCTCGTCGCGCTGAGCATCGCGGGCAGCGCGTGCGAGGAGTGTGTGCGGAGAGGGAGCGCGCGCTGCTGCTGGTTGGCGGCCTGCCGCGGCAGCGGCTGGACGCCGACGCGGTGACGTGCAGCGCGGCAATCGGGGCGTGCGAGAAAGGCCAGCGCTGGGAGATGGCGCTGGCATCGTGGGAGGCGATGCTGCGCCAGAGGGTGCGTGCCAACGAGGTGGCCTGCAGCGCGGCCACAGGCGTGTGGGAGAGGGGTCTGCTGCTCCTGCGGACGATGGGGAGACTCGCGCTCCAGTCCTGCACGATCGCGTACAACGCCGCCATCAGCGCGTGCAGGCGCAGCGAGCAGCACGACCAGGCGCTGCAGCTCTTGCAGGAGATGCGCGAGGCAAGGGCCCGCCCAGACGCGGTCACCTGCAACAGTGCCAGCAGTGCCTGCGAAGGTGGCCGCTCGTGGCCCCGGGCCCTGCTGCTGCTCTGCGGGATGGCCCATGCCAGGCTCGAGGCGGGCCCGGTCACCTTCAGCTGCTCCATCGGCGCGTGCGCAGCGGGTCGGGCGTGGGAGGCGGCCCTGGGACTCCTCGCCCGCCTGCCGCTGGAGGCGCTGCCAGCCCGCTGCGCGTCCCTGCGAGCAGCCGCAGGGGCACTGGAGCTTGCGCACCTCTGGCAGAGGACCCTGGCAGTTCTCGGGTGCCTGCAGAGGGGCCGCCAGCGGCCCGACGTGGCCACGTCGAGGGCCGCGCTGGGCGCCTTGGAGGCTGCCGGCCACGCGCAGCAAGCGCTGCCGGTGCTACAGGGCATTCGGCAGAGCCTCAGGGCGCGCGCGCGGCTTTCCCGCGAGGGAGCGCCGCGGGGACGCGGCGAGCCGCGGGGGGTCGTCGGTTGGCCACGCGGCCGCTCTGCGGCGGTCTGGCCGCTCCCTCGACGCCGAGCCTCTGGCTGCCGCGGCCGACGCGGTCGCCTGGCGAGAGTGCTGGAGCCGGCAGGACCGACGCGCCCGGCGGCGCGAGGCCGCCGTCCTGGCTCTCCGCTGCAAGGCCTGCGCGCCCTGCTGGAGCGGGTTCCGCCCCGGCGTTCTGCCAGGCTGCACGACGCCACCCTGGAGGGCCGCCCGGGCCTGGGCTCCGAGCTCACGCGGGAGTCCCTGCAGGCCCCGGGGCGTCGGGGAGGGGCCCGTGGAGCCCAGGCGCTCCTGTGCGGTGGCGCCGCGGCCGCCTTCGTCCGAAGCGCTCGGCCACCTGGGCGGGGCCCCGGCCGCCGGGGCCCTCGTGGCCCACGCCGCGCGCTTCGAGCTGCTGCTGCGGGCGCCCTTCGTGCTGAGCGGCAGCGCCGTGGGCATCGGCGGTGTGCCCGCCGTGCGCGGCGACGTGTGCTGGAGACGGCCAGGCTGAAGCAATTGCTGCAGGCGGTCTGCGAGCGAGCGTTGCCGCGCGCAGACTGTCGCGTGTTGCTGATCCGATTTGTCCGTTTCGGCGTCTTCAACGCGCAGCCTATGTTCCAGGCCATCAGAGGAGGAACAGGTATCCATACTTCCCTCGTGGTCCTCCTTTTTGGGCCGCTTGGGAGGCCCTCGTCGCCACCGCTGGAGTCGCCTCGAAGTCTTGGCCAGAACGCACCCCAGGTATCGGCACCTCTTGGTTTCCCCAGGTCAGCTCCGCCTCCGAGGTTGCAGCAGATGTTGCGACGAGCTGCCTGAAGTGAGCTGCTGCTGGCGATCCAAGCGTACCCCGGATGGGGTATTTATCAAGGGGGGTGATGATTCACCTCCCGACGGAGCTCGACCAGTCCCGCCCTGAGAGGGGGCGGGCCTTCTCAACAAACGGGGGCGGGGCTGCTCGGAGGCCGCCCACTCCTCCGGCGGAGCCCCGTGCGCCTTCTCCGAGGCCGCAGAGAGAGCTTCTCTCGGCAGGCGCGGGGCTTCTCGGCAGGCAGCCGCCGCCTGCGGAGGAGGCCTGCCCCATCTCGCCTCTCGCGAGCCACGTCGTGAGGGTATCCAGCCTGTCACCGATTCCCTCGCGTTCGGCACCCGAATCCAGCCGCGCGTGTTCGCAGCTTCGTGGCAGACTCAAACGAACTCCTCCTCGCCCCCCCCCCTCCCCTCAACTTCCTCTCCGCCATCCTCCTCCTGGACTCATTACGCCGTCGGCTTGTGACTTGGACGAAGGATCCCCTGCGCCTTCCGCCCCAGGCGAGGGGGCATGATCTCCTGAGCATTAGGTCCCGCAAGGGCGCGAAGATAATCGCGCTTCGCGTATCGCGGCCTGGGTTGCCAAGGTGCCCTTCTCTAGAACGTCGGCGCCATGGAGAGAGGATCACCGCGCGCCGCGCATCTCCGGGCGCGATGCGCAGTATCTTCCCGCATCTTTCTCTTCTCCCTGCGTTTTCCTGGTGTTTCTTATTTTTTCTTATCATTACCATCAGTATTTGTAGTATTGTCATTGCTTGTTTTTAGTCATCTTATTGTTCTTCGTCTTGCATGTATGACTCGTATTGCTTTCCTTGTTTTTAGTGTCATTATTATGATTCATCGTCTCCTTCCGTCGCACGCTCTTCCGCGCGCATGCGCGGGCGCAGGGGGGATCACGGGAGATTATGGCAGATGCCGGGAATTGCCTGGACTAGCACGGGAAGCTGGAGGAGAAGGATGATGAGGAGGAGGACGGCGAAGGCGAAAGCGAGGGCGAGGAGGACGACTGTGTCTGGTGAAGAGAAGGAGGTAGATGGATACTGCGGGGAGAAAGGTCCTGTATGAGGAGTGGAGAGGAGCTGAGCAGCAGGAGGCAGAGAAGGAACAGGAGGAGGGAGACCGAGGAGACGCGATGAGGACGTGGCGGGAGTGGAGGCTGGCTGGAGGCCAGGAGGCAGACGGCGGGTCCGTCGGGGACGGGGCCTCGGAGAGCAGACACGGCGGAGTCTTAGGGACGGCGCCGGAACGAACCGCCTCCTGGCCCTCGGAGCGCACCAGGAGCCGCGCCACAGGTGCCGCCAGGATGGCTCCAGCGCAAATCCGAGGGATCCGCGCGAACTTCCGAAAGTTTATTTTTACGATTTCTAGAGCCTCCTGGCCCAGAGTCGGGCCGCAGTGCTGCCCGGGCCCCGCGCCCCGCCCGCGGCCTCCTCGTGGCCCAGCGCGCTGGGGATGGGCGCCAGCAGGGAGGCGGCGCTCGGAGCCCCGAAGCCTAGCCCAACGGCTCGGTGGAGCCGCTGCCACAGGCCAGTCCTTGACAGTGGGCAGCGACGCGCTCCAGGGATGCAGCTGCTCCGAGCCTGCCCCCCACAGCAGACGCAGTCTCGGCGCCGGGCTCACGAACGCTTGCCCGCCTCCTGGTATTGCCGAGGACTGCCAGGTTGGCTCTGAGCCGGGCCAGGGAGCGCTGACACAGAGCGCCTGCTCCGACTCACCTGTCGGGAAGGCCTCGGCAGGGTCTCGGATGAGCTCTCCTCTTCCCCGAAGGCGGGGCACGCAGGATCCAGGCTCCTGTTTCTGCACGATCGAGCAAGCGTGCTCCTTGCAGCCGCCGCCATGCCCCCCCGCCGTGCCCACCATGCCGCTCCTGGCCACTCCGGAGCGCCCCACACTTGCGGGAGCCAGAGAGACGGATGGGCACACGGCGTGGAGCCTCCGGGCAGGCTTCCCGAGCTGCTTTGCGGTAGAGGTCATCCTCAAGTGGACGACGTTCCACAGCTGGACGCGCCGCGCGGCCACGTGGATGACCGCGCGGCCGTGCCCCGAGGTGCACCCGCCCTGTTTGGCCGCGGCCACGCCCACGTGTCGCCAGGCGGCGGCTCCGAGGAGCGCCAGGGCCCACGAGTCGTAGGCTCGGCTCAGGAGCTGGTCTGCCCCGGGACATGCTCCCAGGAGCCACTGGCCAGACCCCAGCCCTCCCTCCACGACTGCCTAGAAGAGTCCCCTTAGCATCCCCAGGGGCGGAGGGCCTCGGGCGACTCGGCCTGCCAGACCTGCTACTTCCGCACTGGCTGCTCCGAGACGCTGGTAGGGGAGAAGGCGAGATCGCTGCGCCAAGGCAGCCCCAGCCACCGATGCTGCGTGACCCATTCCACGCCAATTCGCCGTGGCCCCACGAGGCCTAGCTGCAGGGCCTGCCATTGCGGTAGTTGCGCGTGGTGCCCGGCGCCTCCTGCAACCATTCCATGTGTTTGGTCGCTTTTGTGTGAGGCTGTGTCTCGTACTTCCAGGCCCAGGCCGCCATCACCTCGAGGGCCGCCTGTGTCACTATCCGAGACGATTCGAGGAGTGCTGGGTCGTTCTGCATGCAAAATGGCCGCCAACCGAAACGGGGCCAGGCGGTCCATAGCTCGGAACGCCGACGCATTCAGGTCTGGCCGCTCCGCGAGGAGCGCCTTGGAGGGCAGCAACCCCCTTCCTGCATGGAGGAGACAGGAGGCAGGAGAGGACGAACGAGCAGCAGCAGGGGGAGGATCTGGAAGGGGTCGGAGGGGCCTAGCCTTCGGCACCGGCGCGCCTGAAGCGGTCCGTTGCCACCGACGTCCCCCCCAGCGGCCCCCAGCGGTCTCGGGTTGTCCAAGGTTGTTGCCCTTCCTTGGCGCAACCCCTGGCTCCCAGAGCGCCCGCCCCGAGGCCCATCAGGGCCCGAGCAGCAGGGGACGCCTTGCGCCAGGGACTCCTTTGGCTCCCCCCTCGCGGCGCCCGCCTGTGGGGCGCGTGGCCTCCTCTGCTGGCCGCATGGCGCCTGGAGCGTTCGCGGCGGCGCCCCACGCACAGCTGATGGACTACGCGCGGGTCGGGTCCGAAGAGGACGCCCCCGCCGCTGGGATGTCGGGGGAGCGGGGCCGCACTGGCCGAGGCGGCGCAGGGCCCGGGGCGGCGCAGAGGCGCCCCCAGCAGGTGGCCTGTCTTTGACGGCTGGCTGCGCACGTGCGGGTGGCCCTCCTCGACTACACGTAAGAGTGACCTTTCGCCGGAGTGACCTTTGGTGGGGGCACAATGGGGTCCCCCGATCACCGATTGCGATGCGATAGTAGCGTCCAGCGCGCCTGAGTTTGGTCCCCCCGCGGCCCCCCGAAAGCCGCGCACCAAAGGTCACTCTTACCCAGGGTCACTCTTGCGTGTAGCCGACCTCCGCGCCGGGGTGGCCTTCGGGTGCGCGCCTTCGCTGCGGGCCGGGGGGGGGCAGTCCCAGGCACGCAGGCAACAACTCGGTCGCACAGCGGGGCCGCGCATCACAGAGGCCACTCTGGCCCAGGATCGCTGGTTGCGTGCAAGCGAGGCAGGCCCCCGCCGTCGTCCTCGGGCGGGCTCGGCACCCAGCACCCCCCCCCCCGAGCGCTCCGCGCACCCAGGGGCTGAAGCACTGCTCGGAGGAGGGCCGGTCGAGGCACCGGCGGCCCTCCCTGGCTCGTTTCGTTCTTTTTTGTTGTCTCGTCGCCACGGCTGGATCCGCGTCGGACAACGGGTCAGGATGGACCCCAGGATGGGTCCAGCTACAGTCGGGGCCCTGAAGAAGGAACCCTTTTCGTTGGGGAGGGGCTCCGCGTTCCTTAGTTGTTTTGTAGTTCGCCTTTGGTATTGTTTAGGGTTTCGATGGGAAATCGAAGTTTAACTTACAGGAAAAAGGGGCCTCGTTCCTTATTTAGGGTTCCTTAGGTCAACGCCCCGACTGTATTCAGTTGAGCGGAGTTGGGCCAGGCTTGAGAGCCGCCGTTGTCTCAAGTGGCCCTCCTCCGAAGTCGGACCCTTCTGGCCTGTGGCGGCCGAGACGCTCCCACGTCGAGGCAGATCCGAGTCATTCGAGATCTGTGGTGTCGAAGGGTCTGGCCGTCATCTGGCACGGCCCTGTGGACTTTTCACGCCCTCGAGGGGAAGTACATGCTCAGGAGAGGGGACCACGTGAGCCTGCCAGGGAGGTGGGGGACGGGCCTAGGAGGGCAGGAGAGAAAGGCAATGCACTGCCCAGATGCTGCATCAGACCCGCCCGCCCACCCCATCATACAGCGCCCACCCCCGCCATCCTTTCGTATCGCGAAGCTCCCCTTTTATGCCAGAGGCTGCGTCGTCACATGAAGTAAACGAAGGAAACTTGTTAGCAGACCTCTTGGGGCCACAAATCGGGCGGAGGGGCATGATTTCGATTGTCACACGTCTGCTCTCCAGCCAGGTGCCCCTGGGGCCGCAACTGGGGAGACATCGGTCCTCCTGAGGTCTGGGCCTGCCCCTTGGAAAACCAATCCCAGACGGTTCTGGGGGTGCGTTCTGCTTAGACGTCTCAGCCGGTGCAGCCTCATGGGCACGCCGTGCATTGGTATGGGAGCCTGTTGGAAGGGCGCGGCGGGCAGAGCGATACGTATTCAGACGAGCTGATGATGCGTCAGCCTTTACAGCGCATCGAAGAGCTGCAAGACGACGCGTTAG